TCTGGTTGTAGATGTTGCCACAAAACCTCTGCAGCCCACCTCCACTGGTCGGACTTCTGTGTTCCAGCCATGATGCCGTGCTTCGGCAGCTAGATCAGCATAGCGCAGATGTTTTCGCTCATAAGCCTCATCTACTGAGTCCTTTAAAGCTTTTACATAAGTAATTAAAACATTTATATTAACAATTAACTCACAGCGGCCTAAGGCCTACAGCTAGGCCTAAAGCCTAGACCTAGGCCTCAAGCTCTCCCTTCGTATAGTTCCGTGTGTGTGAAAGGGAGTAAATGTTTGGGCGCGCAAGTCAGTGGGGAGGGAGGTATATAATTACAATAACCCCCCCTCAAATCTTTGCACCTGACGAATTAATGAGTTAATGATGACGTCACCCTGCTGCTGCTCTATATAAGAACGGGAGACACAGCAGAGCCTCACCATTCTGGCGAATTGCCCGATGATGCCGGATGCAATTACCAGCGAAACGTCGTACTCAAATTGTAAATGTTGTGGTTTCTCGCTTCAACACACCGGTGGGCTAAAGCAGTGAACTATTTGTCTTTTGTCAACGTGACACTTTTTCACTGATTGGCCGTGTCGGGTGGTGGAGGGTTACGACACATTTATAAATAACGCGATCTAAATCCAAAAACGTTGATTATGAATGTTACATTCCCTGATGTTTTTTAATAGAAACATTTACATTTAAAGCTTTTACATAAATAATTAAAACATTTATATTAACAATTAACTCACGGCGGCTTAAGGCCTACAGCTAGGCCTAAAGCCTAGACCTAGGCCTCAAGCTCTCCCTTCGTATAGTTCCCCTGCGTGTGTGAATAGGAGTAAATGTTTAACAATGTTACGTTCAATCTTAATTTTAGAACTTTCGTGACTGCAGTAAATGATTATTTGGTTCTTTCGGTTAAGTCACGTCTAAAGATAAAATAATAAATTAAATTAAATAATAGCATACGACGTTTCGATTGCAACACAAGCAATCATCATCAGGTATAATGAAATAGCGACATAAAATCTAACCAGAAAACTATAGACAGACATATTAGCAGACAGATATCACCAAGATACATAGAGGGAGCAACACAGGAACCAGAGAGGGGTGATCATCTCTGTGGGGTGGCCTTAAATAGACAGAGGGGGGAGGAGGCAGAGAGAGGGAGGGGGTTAGAGAAAACATTTGCATATCAATGAGTGGTCCAAAAACAAGATTCTGCAAGTGCGATGACACGGCAAGCAAGTCTGAAAATCAGAAGGACAAACTAAAATTCAATAACCTAGCAAAATATCGAAATGTAATGTAATACAACACAGAGTCGGTCAACACACAATTAACGCATAGCCTGGTTGATTACGTACTTCAAAGATTGCTAAGTTAGAATTGAAGTGTGAACATTCCAAAGAGAAGACACAGGCAGAGAGGAGAGAGAGAGAAAAAAGGATAAGCTCAAAACTTCCCCGTAAAAGTGGTTCAATCTTAATTTTAGAACTTTCGTGACTGCAGTAAATGATTACATTACATTTCGATATTTTGCTAGGTTATTGAATTTTAGTTTGTCCTTCTGATTTTCAGACTTGCTTGCCGTGTCATCGCACTTGCAGAACCTTGTTTTTGGACCACTCATTGATATGCAAATGTTTTCTCTAACCCCCTCCCTCTCTCTGCCTCCTCCCCCCCCCCTCTGTCTATTTAAGGCCACCCCACAGAGATGATCACCCCTCTCTGGTTCCTGTGTTGCTCCCTCTATGTATCTTGGTGATATCTGTCTGCTAATATGTCTGTCTATAGTTTTCTGGTTAGATTTTATGTCGCTATTTCATTATACCTGATGATGATTGCTTGTGTTGCAATCGAAACGTCGTATGCTATTATTTAATTTAATTTATTATTTTATCTTTAGACGTGACTTAACCGAAATAACCAAATAATCATTTACTGCAGTAACGAAAGTTCTAAAATTAAGATTGAACCACTTCTACGGGGAAGTTTTGAGCTTATCCTTTTTTCTCTCTCTCTCCTCTCTGCCTGTGTCTTCTCTTTGGAATGTTCACACTTCAATTCTAACTTAGCAATCTTTTAAGTACGTAATCAACCAGGCTATGCGTTAATTGTGTGTTGACCGACTCTCTGTGTTGTATTACATTACATTTCGATATTTTGCTAGGTTATTGAATTTTAGTTTGTCCTTCTGATTTTCAGACTTGCTTGCCGTGTCATCGCACTTGCAGAACCTTGTTTTTGGACCACTCATTGATATGCAAATGTTTTCTCTAACCCCCTCCCTCTCTCTGCCTCCTCCCCCCTCTGTCTATTTAAGGCCACCCCACAGAGATGATCACCCCTCTCTGGTTCCTGTGTTGCTCCCTCTATGTATATTGGTGATATCTGTCTGCTAATATGTCTGTCTATAGTTTTCTGGTTAGATTTTATGTCGCTATTTCATTATACCTGATGATGATTGCTTGTGTTGCAATCGAAACGTCGTATGCTATTATTTAATTTAATTTATTATGTTATCTTTAGACGTGACTTAACCGAAAGAACCAAATAATCATTTACTGCAGTCACGAAAGTTCTAAAATTAAGATATTCTCACGACGTTTCGGCCACAACGCAAGTAGCCGTCCTCAGGTGAAAACCAGGTCTGTCGAGGCGACAGCGTCTGAATGAAACAGCACACGCGCTTGGAGCATGTATATAAGCTGGGTTGGAAGGGGGGAAGAAAGGGGGCGCCTTGAAAAAAGAATATGCATATCAAGAGGAATTTAGCATATTTATGGGAAATGCAGGTGTGTGATTAGTACTGCATGTGCCCGTGCATTATGCAGAATTAGCAGCATCAAAGGGAGGGGGATAAGGGAAATGATTTTCTCTGAGATAAGAGCTAAGCTAGTTCTAGACAGAATTCGTTTAGCATTAGAAGAAGTTACAGCAGCAGATGTTAGTGTAAATGCCAGCGGCGTGGTCCCGAAAGCCAGAGCCGGTGCTCTTGTAAGAGCTGGTCTGGAACTCCGGGTACCGGGCCCGACTTACCAGTGTCGGGCCAGTTAGCCTCCCCTAGCCCATTAGTGGAGGATTCCGGGGCTAGGACAGAGTTAGCTAGGGGTGTATCCCGAGTTATACGGGTGAGGGGGCCGATACCCCCTCGAGTGTGTATATGCCCACTGTCGTATTGTGAAATAAATATACGTGTGCCTCAACCTCGGCGTCAAGCGTCTTCACCGGTACTTCAGTAACAATCTGCACGATATGCAGCGCCGTCGGCCACGCCCCTATCACTATTAGCCCCGCCTTCTCGCCCCCGGTACTGTATTCTCGACTGTAGACTCCACCCCTTTTCGCCAACGGCCCCTCCCTCCATCGCGCTAAGCTCCGCCTCACACCGCTTGACCCCGCCCCGGTCCCCCGTGGCCCCGCTCCGCCCCCGTGGCCCCGCCCTCCACCCGCGTAACCCCGCCCCGGCCACCCGTGGCTCCGCTCCATCTCGATGTCCCCGCCCAGCCCCGCGTAGCCCCGCCCCCTGCCGCTGTAGCCCCGCCCAATACACCCCGAGCGGGGGAGAGAATCCCAGGCCTGGCTCGGCTGGAGAGCCGCCGACGAGGGGGGTAGGGAGTTGTTTTTAATGTAAAAGCTTTAAATGTAAATGTTTCTATTAAAACACATCAGGGAATGTAACATTATTTGGTTATTTCGGTTAAGTCACGTCTAAAGATAAAATAATAAATTAAATTAAATAATAGCATACGACGTTTCGATTGCAACACAAGCAATCATCATCAGGTATAATGAAATAGCGACATAAAATCTAACCAGAAAACTATAGACAGACATATTAGCAGACAGATATCACCAAGATACATAGAGGGAGCAACACAGGAACCAGAGAGGGGTGATCATCTCTGTGGGGTGGCCTTAAATAGATAGAGGGGGGAGGAGGCAGAGAGAGGGAGGGGGTTAGAGAAAACATTTGCATATCAATGAGTGGTCCAAAAACAAGGTTCTGCAAGTGCGATGACACGGCAAGCAAGTCTGAAAATCAGAAGGACAAACTAAAATTCAATAACCTAGCAAAATATCGAAATGTAATGTAATACAACACAGAGAGTCGGTCAACACACAATTAACGCATAGCCTGGTTGATTACGTACTTCAAAGATTGCTAAGTTAGAATTGAAGTGTGAACATTCCAAAGAGAAGACACAGGCAGAGAGGAGAGAGAGAGAAAAAAGGATAAGCTCAAAACTTCCCCGTAGAAGTGGTTCAATCTTAATTTTAGAACTTTCGTGACTGCAGTAAATGATTACATTACATTTCGATATTTTGCTAGGTTATTGAATTTTAGTTTGTCCTTCTGATTTTCAGACTTGCTTGCCGTGTCATCGCACTTGCAGAACCTTGTTTTTGGACCACTCATTGATATGCAAATGTTTTCTCTAACCCCCTCCCTCTCTCTGCCTCCTCCCCCCCCCCCCTCTGTCTATTTAAGGCCACCCCACAGAGATGATCACCCCTCTCTGGTTCCTGTGTTGCTCCCTCTATGTATCTTGGTGATATCTGTCTGCTAATATGTCTGTCTATAGTTTTCTGGTTAGATTTTATGTCGCTATTTCATTATACCTGATGATGATTGCTTGTGTTGCAATCGAAACGTCGTATGCTATTATTTAATTTAATTTATTATTTTATCTTTAAACGTGACTTAACCGAAAGAACCAAATAATCAGTCGTGAGAATAATTTTATTATGTTTTATTTTTATTATTTTATTACTTCCCTTCTACGTGACTTTACCGAAAGAACCAAGAAGATAAACAAGAATGCTTCAGGAACACCATGGGGCTGTGAATGAACTAAACAAGATGTCTTCAGGGTCAGGGCTATAAAGGAACTAAACAAGATGGCGGCGCGAGCGAGCTCTTCCGCGACCGCCCTAACCCAGTTACGTGAGTGACTCAATAAAGTTATCATTGGCTGTAGCAATAAAGTTACGTGAGAGTAACTCAATAAAGTTATTGTGAAGCAACCAATTGGGAGCGCGGCGCGAGCGGGAAGTGGAATTGCAACTGGGAAGCGAGTCCGGTGTGTACTGTGTGTGTACATTGTGTGTACTGTGTGTGCACACTGGGTGTACTGTGTGTGTACATTGTGTACTGTGTGTGTACATTGTGTGTACTGTGTGTGCACACTGGGTGTACTGTGTGTGTACATTGTGTACTGTGTGTGTACATTGTGTGTACTGTGTGTGCACACTGGGTGTACTGTGTGTGTACATTGTTTGTACTCTGTGTGTGTGTACACTGTGTGTACTGTGTGTGTACATTGTGTGTACACTGTACTCTGTGTGTGTGTGTACACTGTTTGTACTCTGTGTGTGTACACTGTTTGTACTCTGTGTGTGTGTACACTGTGTGTACTGTGCGCGCTGTGCTGGCCACCCACCCCTCGTGTGCCGTGTCGCCCTTCATTGGTGCTACTCGCTGACGGCGCTTGCCCCAACAGTCTTGTTAGAAGTGTCCACATGATAAGCCACTTCGGTGAGCTATCAATTGTGGCCAAGTCGCTTCTGAAAAAGAGCTACACAGCTCAGTGGGCTTTACCTGGTAAATAAATTGGTGTATGTTGTGTGTGTGTGTACACTGTACTGTGTGGTGTTGGCCGGCCACCCCCTCGTGTGCCGAGCCGGCCTTTATTGGTCACTTGACAGTCTGTTCAGGCTTTACGGGGGATCTTTGTGTGTGCTGTGTGTACACATGTGTGTGTGTGTACACGTGTGTGTGTGTACTGTGTACACGTGTGTGTGTGTACTGTGTACACGTGTGTGCACTTTGTTTACTGTGTGTGCACTGTGTTTACTGTGTGTGCACTGTGTTTACTGTGCGTACTCCTTGTATTCTCTGCATGGGTATTCGCCGTGCTGTTGTATTGCACAATATAACGTTGCGCTTTGTTTTCCTTGGTGTATCTACTCCATCTTCAATGACGACTGCCAACTTCAAAAGCGATGACACTCAGCTCTACAGTTCCTTGACTCCACGAACACATTTGACTCCGCGGTGCATAATTCCGGCAGATTCCCGTCAGCCCCCACCACCGGCCCTCTCAACTCTCATGTCCATGCATGCAGAGTTGAGCAAACGGATCAGGAGACACAGAGACATACCACTGACATAGGAGTGGGGGACACATACGGAGAGACACACACAGACACGAATACACTGACGCAGTTGGCTTGCTCCGGATCTTAGCGGCCACTTGATTTCCTTGTTCTTGTTGTGAGCTCAGTACAGACCGTTCTCCTATAGTGCCGCGTGTTTTCATAACGCGAATTGTATATAACGCGATGAATATGTTAGGGAACACTTTTTTATAACGCGGATGCGAATTGGATATAACGCGATTGAGCAAACGGAACTACGTCGTGCGAGGTTTTACGGCTGCCTCGGCGTAGCATCACACGAGGCATTGGGATGCTGCTGGATGCTCCGAGGTGCTACCCACGCGCCTCAGTCTTTGTTCAGCCTGCGTACGCATCTCACGTGTTATCGTGGATTGTGCTTTACCCTATATTATATATTATTAATTAAAACGGGATTTGTCCAGAATGTCGAAACCGTCGGCTTTGTCGTTCTTGAGGGTGATAATTCCATAAATTGGTTCGGCCCATTGTGCACTGTGCCCCGAAAATATTCATCTCATAGTTTTCTTGCTGCCTAAGCCTTGTCTCGAGTTTCCTGTTCGATACAAATGTGCCTATAAAAAAAATTCTTCAATGTGTACTACCTGCTCTGACATATAGGTCCTAAACATGGGCATAACAAAAATGGAACAAACGACAGAGTTTTGCAAAGAAGCATGGAGAGATGTAATGCTTGAAATTATACAGACAGCAATACAGGTATCCCTCAATTTACGAATATTTTGTTTACAAAATTGAGCATTAACGCAATTTGAAAATTACGGACACTTTTCGATTAACGAAATCACATTTCCGCGTTTACTTAATTTCATATGGCATGTGCCATGAGATCAAATGAGAACCACCCGGGAGGCTGCATTATCCTTCCGCGAAAGTGTCATGGTATCCCTAAGTGCAACGATAACACCTCCACATCACCTTTCCAGTCATTCAATCATGCTGTTCTTTTGATTCCTGAAAAAGTTAACAATTTTGTTTTAAAATGTATTATTTAATCGTTTTAATATTTCAGTTATTTTGATGATTTTTTTTTGTATATTTTTAGGTTAGTCGAGTTGGAATGACACATCCCTCATTTTTTGTATTAAATTAATGGCAAAAGCCATGTCTTTTTGAACAATGCATCTTTTTTGTAAATCGAGGAATACCTGTACGTGTGTAGTGACTGTGAATGTCACTGTGTGGTGCTGGACTTACGAAGCCGGTGAGGGAGCGAGAGGGAATGTCAGCCAGCCAGGGTTATGTTGGGGCATGATACGCTGGTTGACCTGCCGACACGTGACCGGATGATATTGGAGGGGGGCCACTAGTGGACGGGGACCGCTAGGCGGTCACGTGGTATAAAAGAGCTTTCGGGAGCCTTCGGGAAAGAGCGAGAGATCTGGAAGGTGGGCGGGGCGAAGGGCGGAGCCAACCCCAGCCCGGGGGGATATGACGGGGCCCCGTGAGGGGCTCGGGGTTCTTTGGGTTGCTGGTGAAGAAGATCCACGTCGGGTTAAAGAAGCCTCTAGCCATGCGGTCTGGGACCCAGCTTGTGGTCCGGGCCGGGATAGCGAACTGTGTCTAGTTCTGCCTTAGCGTGGCTAGATAGACATTCAACACCCAAGTGTAGGTTGTGTTATGTTGAGTTGGTGAAATAAATAGTGTTGCTCCCAAGGCAACGTCTGCGACTCAGTTGGACTCACTACACGTGTATTGGAGAACATGTGCAGGTTAATGACGGTAAGAGAAGTAAAGTGGGCTTGGGCAGGATGAGTCGCTTGAAGGGACGATGGACCACTGTCGAGCTTAAAAACGGAGTGGCAACCAAGGAAAGGAATGCATCCGATGGACGTCCACCAGGGAGATGGAGCGATGAAATTAAGTCGTGTTGTAGTTGCTGGGTAAACTCTTGCATCGTAGGATTGTGAGAAGTGGCAGTGGTTCGGGGAGACCTTCATCCAGCAGTGGATTCACCATGGCTGATGATAGTGATGATGATGACGTGTCGTATGCGTGGATGTGTGTGTCGATCTGCAGCTGCCATGGACGAGCGGACTCGAAGCGGCCTGCTGCAGCACCGCACGCACCTCGTGCGCGACCTTAAGCCGGTGCTGCTGTTCGACCACCTGGTGAGCGACGGCGTGCTCACCGATGCGGAAGAGGAGCAGCTGCGAGCGCAGGTGATGACACAGACACGGCAGCCTGAGACGAAGCACAGCCCACACAGCCACCAGTGGCTGAGTCAAGGAGGAGGGGGGGGCGGGAGCGATGGAGGCGATTTCTCCCTTAAGACTCAGAAAATTACTACTTTATTTCTATTCACCAGAGATTATTCATTGAATACATTTTTTTTAACGTAGTGTCCTATGTAACCAGCTGTATTAATTTCAGGACCCTCCCACCCTCCTTGGGAAGTTTATATATCTGCCTCTGACCGGCATAGCAAAGACACGGAGCGTCAGCTGTTTACGGCCGTAGGGCTCTCAATCCTACGTAACAGTTCTGCAGTCCTTCACTATTCTTTGCATGTAACAAATCACTTGTTCCCTGCTAATCTTTCTCAGTGAATCTGCAATCTCGTGGTTTGTCCGTGACGTTTCTGAACCGTCTGTACCGCTGCTATCTCAAACCAGTTTTGAATCTGTGTTCTTAAGACTCCTTTCCGCTGTACTTTTCTGCTCAAATGAGCATTAAGGCGGTGTTCATTTCCCATTTGCAGCCCTGAGCCAGTGATGACAATTCGACATTCCATGAGAGAACCACCGTTGACTTCCCTGCAATGTAGTACGCATTTATTGATCCCGGAGGTAGGAATGATGGACTGAGTCAACCCCCAACCAGGATTATACAATTTTCTGGTTGATACACGAACAGGGTCCCTATTAGCAACACAACTTTAAAATAAACTCACACTCATATCGAATCATCGTTTTAAGAGTAATCGTGCCGCACAGTTACAGACAGATGGACGGTCAGAGCTAACTCATTAAGGCTTTCAACTTTATTTGGAAACCGTTAAAATGTAAACGGTATACTTTAATTTCATGAATTAGTTGAGCATAAAAATTTCACCTTTTACTATCTTGAGGTTTTGTTCACTGAGATAGGTGAGCAGGGAGAGTGGCATTTATATATTGTTCATGTCTTGTACATTAATGTTTTTAATTTTTGTGATAGTCCATAAAAACAAGCAAACTCGTGTAGTCGATTTTTATCAAGGCAGTATAATATATTTTTATGATTTTTTAAGTGGTTTATATTTGCCTAGGTTGCCCGCCAAGTACAGGCATCAGAACTATTGAAGTTGCTCTTGAACAAGGACAACTACGCAGTCATCTCATTCTACAATGCTCTGGTGAAAGAGAGCTACATTGATCTGGCTGCATTGCTACAAGATTTCCTGCCCATCCCCATGTCTCCTTCCGAAGAACCTGATCATCACATAAAATGTGGCTCCAGTGCCTGTAAGTTGCCCATCGCAGCAATTTCGGTCCATGGTTGGGATGCACTCAGAATTGGGCACGTGGGTCTTCCAGGGATCACTGTGCTGTTAGATTTGCTGTATCTTCCAAAGGTGCATTTTGTTTTTAGTCATCACAAAATTGAGTATAATGCGTCTACCCAGAAAATGAATCGCTGTTGAAATGCTGTGGCTAGTGTGCACTGGTTACATGACACATTTCTCAAGTTGAAATTTACTGAAACCCTTCGTTGTTTTTTATTTGCCGTTAATCAATGGTGGAAATTTACAGGTTTTTGACAGTACGCCGTACCGGCATTTTTCAGAACACCAGACTTGTACACTTGCATTCTTCAGAACAGTTCCTACTTCTATAGTGCGATGTTTCCAGAGGGAAACGAAAATGAACCTGGGCTAAAGGGTGTAAAGGTTTAAAAGCGGTACTTCCGTATTTACATTTTAACCACTGCCCTAACTAAAAGCTGGGGAGCATCCACGGTTGTTGGCCATGATGACGTCTTGTTATGCTTGAATTAAAACTTTGACACCTGTAAGCTGGCAGGATCTGAGGCCTTTGTGGTGGTTACGTAATGGTTTAGTGATGATACAAAAATAACATTGTGCCTGCCTCAACTCGCATTTCCCACTTTTGGTGAATAGAGCATGAACTCTGCTCCTTTCATGCTGAGAACATTTCAAGGAGTAAGCCAGTGTCAGATTCACAGACGAACACATCCACATTCCACCAAAATGTGAATCGTACCAAAGATCTATACGTTGTGATCACAGAGGTACTAGAGATATGAGAAAAAAAATGCCTTAAATTGCAACGAAGTAGTTGAATAACGTGCTGTGAAATGCGGTTAATGTAACGGCGTGTGTGCGCGTACCAGTTGAGATGATGCTGCGGGAGGGTGGCGTGCCGCAGCGCCCCGTGGTGTTTGTGGAGCGTACGAAGCAGCTGGGCGCCGTGCGTGAGGCGCTACTGGGGCTACGCGGAGCGCCAGGGTGGGTTGTGCTGCACGGGATGGCCGGCTGCGGAAAGTCGGTCATTGCAGCCGAAGCAGTGAGGGACCCAAAGCTTGTGAAAGGTACGTGGGCCCAGCGGTAGTGCCTCTTGTTGCAGAGGTTCACGTTTCTAATTTGGCAGGCCCCCACCCTCCCTCGGTTAATTAATTAACCATAAAATACTACACAGTAGGAGGAGAAAAGATTGAGGTGGTAGAGAAGTTTTTATACTTGGGCAGTTATGTCCGTAATGCAGGGAGGTGTGAAGAGGAAATTGGGAGGCATATTGCTTTAGCATGACAGGTTTTTGATGGACTTTGGAAACGACTTTAGAAGAGAAAAGAGGTAAGTGTAAAGAGAAGATTATTTGAAGCAGAGCTGTATCTTATAATAATATCAAAATGTATAAAGCGTCCTTAAACAATCCTTCACAGGGCGCTATACATGGAAAGGCTCCAAAAGTAGTTGGCATTTGAGCACAGATGTCTGAGATATGAATGTTGGAAATTTTGTGGCAAGCCAGGACAAGCAAATGCAGAAGGCCGAAAGAGAGCTTGGCAGGTGACTGTTGTAGAGATAATTAACCAAACACGAGAATAGGGTTTCTCATGTTCGACCAGAGGACGCCAAAAGGTGTTTTAACATCTTAATACCTGTTTTGTTGCCAGAAAAAAGGGGAAAACCTATTCTCATATGTTGGTACTGGCAAAGGAGGTTCCATGATGTAACCAAACACGGTTTTGCTGGGTGGGAAGTGTGTGAAGGATGGGGGGAGGGTCGATTGCAGAGGCAGGCACTGGAGTGGTCTCCATGAGTCCGGCGACCAAGGGAAGACTTAAGAGCAGATGGTGGGAGCTGGTATTATTCTCAGGAGGGCGCGTGTCTACTATGCAACAGCTGTAGGATCTGGGTACGATGACACCTAAACACTTGAGTGCTAGCTGTGAGCACGTAGCAATGCCGTGGTGTGGTGTGGCGGTGTGTGCGCGTGTGCAGAGTGTTTCCCAGGAGGTGTCTTCTGGGTTTGCGTGGGCCAGGTGGATAAGCCCACGCTCCTCATCAAGCTGCAGAACCTGTGCCAGCGTCTGCAGCCAGAGAGAGAGCGGCTCGACCTGCACAACCTCGAGCAGGCCAAGGACACGCTGAGGCTTATACTGACGCGACTCCACCCCAGGCGAGCGCCTCACGGCAGCATGAGTGTCAGGTTTTGTTAGGATTTTCCTCTGGGTCGTCCGGTTTTTCCCTCCGCGTTTAGAATCATCATCACGCGTTTACAGTATTGGGCTGCTGCTTACATTTTCCACCTGATAAGCCACTTTTTTGAGCGATTGTTTGTGGCCATGTAGCTTCTGAAAAAGAGCTACATAGTTCAAGTGGGCCTTGCCTGGTAAAATAGTTTATAATAGAGGTATTTTGGGTTATATCGCCGACACAGTCAACTGATAAGGGTTGTCACGTAAACAGATTGTGCGAATTTGTCACTAGTACAGCACACCGGTGTGTTGGAGATTTACAATTTGAATACTCAGATTGTAACGAATTGGCATGTTCTGTTTACGTGACAACCCGTGCTAGTTGGCAATGTCGGGTGGTGGCGGGTTTTAATGACACGTTTATATATGTATGCGATCTAACCCCAAAGACCTCTATTATGGATGATATTGGTCGTGAAAGCCTACGTGTTAAACGAAAAATAGTTTGTTATTTAGTAGTGGTGCGGTGGTTACCACTGTGCGCTATGAATCTGGCAACCTAAGTCAGATTCCCCTAAGTTCGAGACCTGAGGAGAGGCGTGGGAGGAGAGATAATAGGAAAGAGAAAGACGAGAGGATAGCAGAGAGCCATGAATAGAGAGATCTAGAGAGACACGAAGAATTAAGAGTTTCATATTCTTGGTTCTTTCGGTAAAGTCATGTAGAGGGGAAGCAATAAAATAATAAAAATATAAAACAATAAAATTCTCACGACGTTTCGATTGCAACACAAGCAATCATCATCAAGTGTGAAAACCACAGCAAGAAAATTCTGTGAAAACCACAGCAAGAAAATTTTCTTGCGGTGGGTTTCACAACTGATGATGATTGCTTGTGTTGCAAATGAAACGTCGTGAGAATTTTATTTTTTATATTTTTATTATTTTATTGTTTCCCTTCTACATGACTTTACCGAAAGAACCAAGAATATGAATCCCTGCAGTCACGAAAGCTTTAAATCAAAATGAAGAGTTTGTCAAGAAGCATGCAGAGAAAAAGACATGCGGAGAGGGAAACACAGGGAGAGAGAGACGAGGGGAGAGAGTGAGAGACACATGGAAAGTGAGACGGGGAGAGAGAGACACACGGGGAGAGTGAGTGAGAGAGTGAGAAATACGTGGCGAGTGAGACATATTTAAAGAGAGAGACATGGGGAAAGCGAGTGAGTTGGTGAGGGAAGAGACATAGGGAGAGACGGACCTCCCGCGGCTCCCCTCTCTGTCTTTTGTGACAACACTGGGGGTGGGGGGGGGGGGTAGCAGCCCAGCGACAGGGAAACACACTGCTTGAGTCGAAGCACTGTAGACTTGTGTTACAGTGTGATGCTGTCTGTGCCTGGCCCCGATGCTTTTTAACATCATCTATTCACCACGTAGTTCAATAAACTTTGTTTGGCTATGCAAGAGGCATTTCCATCTATCAAGACCAAAATTTCAGCTAAAACCCCCTAAGTTGTCGCTCAATGTATTATTTTGTCCCCTTGGTCTGGTATTCCTTTTCCCGCTGTCTGTCAAATTGACCCCCTCCCACAGTTCCCATCTCATGTTAACACCCTGATCCTCCTCCTTCTCTTACAGATGCTAGAGGCAGCGTTGTTGTCCACTGCTGTTAAGTTCCCATCCAGGTTCCCGGGAACTTCGCAGCACCCTCATTATTTTTCCCACAGTCTCTCCTCCCCGCCCTCCCCCAACTCTCGTCACCTTCCCTTAATCTTATCTTCCCCCCTCTTGACCCCGATAACCGAGTCCCCCTTATCAAGCGCTGCGAATGGCAACTGTTGTTGTTGCTGTGGCTGCAGGTGCCTGTTGCTGCTCGATGATGTCTGGGATAGCCGTGTGGTGAAGGCGTTTGATGTCCATAGCCGCGTCCTGCTTACCTCACGAGACAGCAGTGTCACTGATCTAGCCACTGGTAAGACACGGCACTGACTATTCCACAGCCTTGACAAGCCCACACACGTGCAAACAGCAGTTTGACATGTAAGCTTTCGTGACCACTATTATTCACAATAAAGGTTTTTTGACCTTCTTGGTTCTTTCGGTAAAGTCACGTAGAAGGGAAATAATAAAATAATAAAATGTATTATGTCCCTTCTACGTGACTTTACCGAAAGAACCAAAAAGATGAATCCCTGGAGTCACGAAAGCTTTAAATCGAAATTTAAGGTTTTTTGAGTTAGATCGCATAAGTTTCAACGTGTAGTTAACCCGCCGCCACCCGACACAGCCGATTAGTAAGGTTTGTCATGTAAAGAAAATGTGCCAATTAGTTACGAGTTCAGCACATCAGTGTGTTGGAGAGTAAATCTACAATATTTACAATTTGAGTACTTTGCCGTTTCGCTGGTAATTACATCCAGCTTCATCAGCCGATTTTGCCAGAATTATTACGAGATCTACCTGCTTCCGGTCTTAAATAGAGCAAGATAAAGTCATAATTGTGAGCCAAACAGGTGCAGAGAGTAGAGGGGTTTTATTGTAATTATATAACAATGATTGTTAATCACAGTTAATTCGTATGTGATGCCTTTTACAAGGCATACAATTGTAAGTTATATTACTTCATACGCTTTCAAGCAGCACTAAGCCTGTAGCTGTCAGAATGGTTAAAGTTATTTGTATTTCTCTCAATTTTAATAGATTCTCGCATTAGCCTTGGCCAGTAATAATTCGTTTTACACAATACTTCAACGTTATCAAAATCTATTGAATGCCTCTGTTCGCAAACATGTTCTGCAACTACCGACAGTTGTGTTTGTGAGTATTTAATATTTAGTTAGCAGGAGTCGGGATGAGTGGCGACTCCTGAGTCACTAGACACGGGAATCGGAGGTTTCGCGTTGACGATAGCTGAAACCTCGGCCATGAGAGTTGTAAGAACTTCCTGGGAGAGTCGAGTGGTCCCGATGATTGTTGGAGCACGCAATGTACGTGAGACTTGAGGGCGGATCTCTGTGTCTGATCCAGGCTCCACAATTTCAACGGGGTCTGTTGCAGCTTCGCTGTGGTGCCAGCTTGACTTTCCCGAGGATGAACCGTATGTGGTACATTCCTGTGGCATCTGTGGTTTTTAAGTAAGACACGGCTGGTATGTCTTTCATTGAGACATCTCAAGACACAGATCCCTCTGCGCCGAGCTTCAGAAAGAGAGTTAAGGGTTAAATTTAGACTTAAAAATTTCGTGACTGCAGGAATTCATATTCTTTGGTTCTTTCGGTAAAGGCATGTAGATAAAAAAAGTGAATAAGAAGAAAAACAATAAATAAATATCCCTAATGTAGACTGTAGCTTGGTTCTTAATCAGAGTGAGTGTACTGGCAATCTATAATGTAGACTGTAGCCTGGTTATTAAGTTTGGTGAGTGTACTGACAGTCTATAATGTAGACTGTAGCCTGGTTATTAAGTTTGGTGAGTGTACTGACAATCTATAATGTAGACTGTAGCCTGGTTATTAAGTTTGGTGAGTGTACTGACAATCTATAATATAGACTGTAGCCTGGTTATTAAGTTTGGTGAGTGTACTGACAATCTATAATATAGACTGTAGCCTGGTTATTAAGTTTGGTGAGTGTACCGACAATCTATAATATAGACTGTAGCCTGGTTCTTAACCTCGGTGAGCGTACTGGCAGGTTGTAATGTAGACTAGCCTGGTTCTTAACCTCGGTGAGTGTACTGGCAGTCTATAATGTAGACTGTTGCCTGGTTTTTATTTTATTTGTATTACTCAAAGAACCAGTAATAAGTCTACATTATAGACTACCAGTACGCTCACTCAGTGTAATAACCATTGCTACAATCTGCATTACAGACTACCAATATGCTCACCAGCTTAAAAACCAGGCTACAGTCTACATAATAGACTGTCAGTACACTCACCGAGGTTAAGAACCAGGATACAGTCTACATGATAGACTGCCAGTACACTCACCCAGCTTAACCATTGCTACAGTTTACATTATAGACTACCAGTACACTCACCAAACTTAATAACCAGGCTACAGTCTACATTATAGATTTCCAGTAGACTCACTCCGATTAAGAACCAAGCTACCGTTTACATTAGTGTTTGTTTTGTTTCTTTATTATTAGTTTTTATTTTTCTATCTACGTGACTTTACCGAAAGAACCAAATAATAGAGTTAAGGGTGTAGGGACATGGGATCTGGAGCTGGTTGAGAGCCTGCAGGGAATCCTTCCACCTTTCCCATTGTTGTAGCTTCTCATTGGGTCGTGGGGTATCCCAGTCTTGTGAATCTGAAGAAAGCTCTTAAAGCAAGAACCTCCCTCGTATGGTGACTGAAGCTACAAATTAGGGTGGACTATAGAGGCTGTTCACTGTTGATGGGACAATGGCATTGGCTTTATGGTTTTTCATCGACTGACACCTGGAATATGAAATGTGTCCATCTTGAGGTCCCAGCTGAACCCCCCAAGTCTCTATTGAATCTTTAGTGTGTCGACACCGAGATCTAAGTCCTCTAGATCCTTTGCATGGTCGTCTGAAGGGAATGCATCCATTACTATCAGCACTGTTAGATGCTATTTTGTGGAGCCTCAGGTTAGCAGATCCATGGCCTCTGCATTTGTAGGCAAGGATTTAAGACCGCAAACTGTTTGGCGTCCGTACTGCATGCCTGTTCTCCTTCTTGTGCTGTCTTGCTGAGTCCAGAGGTGGCTACTACTGCGGGTGATGCACGATTACCAAAGACATGTACCTTCATCCTGTATTTAACATTTTCATTGATGACGTTTTCATCTTGAACCATGAAACAGTGGAACATCTACTCGATGTCGGCTTTTGGAGCGACAGGCTCTCTCCTGAAATGGAGTACCACTCATAGGAGGCTATTGGTTAGGTCTGGTCCAGTAAGCAGAACTTCATTCAGTGAGATGCCCTGAAATGGAGCACTTGAGTCAAACACTACTCTGATTTAATCTTAATTTTGGAGCTTTCGTGACTGCAGGAATTATTCTTTGGTTCTTTCGGTAACGTCACATATAAAGATAAAATAATAAATTAAATAATAGCATACTACGACGTTTCGATTGCAACTCAAGCAATCATCATCAGGTATAAAAGAAATAGCAACAAAAATCTAACCAGAAAACTATAGACAGACATATAAGTAGACAGATATCACAAAGATACACAGAGAGAACACGTATCGGCACAAAGAGAGAGATCGTCTCTGTGACGAGGCCTTATGTGTGTTGACCGACTCTCTGTGTTGCATTACATTACATTTCGATATTTTGCTAGGTTATTTAATTTTAGTGTGTCTTTCTCCTAATTTTCAAGCTTGCGTACCGTACCACGTCGTCGTCCACTCATTGACATGCTAATTTTTTCTCTGCCCCCTCCCTCTCTCCGCCCCTGCCCCCTCTCTATATTTAAGGCCTCGTCACAGAGACGATCTCTCTCTTTGTGCCGATACGTGTTCTCTCTTTGTGTATTTTTGTGATATCTGTCTGCTTATATGTCTGTCTATAGTTTTCTGGTTAAATTTTTGTTGCTATTTCTTTTATACCTGATGATGATTGCTTGTGTTGCAATCGAAACATCGTAGTATGCAATTATTTAATTTATTATTTTATCTTTATACGTGACTTTACCGAAAGAACCAAAGAATAACTACTCTGATTGACCTGGCTTCTATGGTTGGTATTAATTATTGTTTTGTACGTATGGGAAGAAACCAGAGAACCTGGTGAAAATTCGTGGTCAATCCCCGTACAGATATAACTTAATCCGCTTGCTGCTTTGTCAGTGATGACTCCTGATCTGAATCTTCCCTGAAGGGGCCAAACACAGAGTGTTCATGGACCAGGGCTTGTCGGAGGAACAATGTCTGCAGGTGCTGGCGCAGTGGGTGGGCAGAGAAATCAAGGACCTCCCCGAGGAGGCTGCAGGCATCGTGGCGGAGTGCCGAGGTAAGCACTCTCGTGGAGTCAAACGTGTGGGCTCCACGCTGTGAGCACCTCCAAAAAGCACGGTCGGCTACATACGGTGCGAAAGAAGTTCAACATACATACGGTGTGGCATCATGGGTACGGCAGTGCCGTGCGTATCGCTGCCATACAGGTTAACGCGCAATTGTTATTGGATTTGAATGAAATACTCAAACTCATATTGCTATAATAGCACGGTTGGCTACACACGGCGCGAGAGAAGTTCAGCATACAAACAATCGGCCATTGTGTGCCATCGCCATGGTCCAAGTTTGCCACATTTGACAGATTACACTGCAAATTACTAATTTGGGATCACACATAGTAATCATCGCCCCCTCCTGGCAGACTAATTCCCACTTGCAGGCCAGTGCACAGTCAACTTCTGCCACACAGTGATGGCTGCCATTGGGGGGGTCCAATAAAAATGTTTTAGATGAAACTAATGATGGATTTGCAGTCATTTCAAGTTCCAAGTTGATGTTGTTGAACTGGGTTAGAACTCATGAGACCAGGATTAGCCTCATTCACAAGAATCACCTCGGTCACCAAAATGACAAAAACAAAACCAGTCGAATAACGTGAAGCGATGATGCAAATAGAAATCAGGGCAAAATCAGCTGTCACGTAAGACGTATAAAATATTGCACTCGCCTAAATCGCTGTTAATTAATAAACTCCCTGCAGTGGAAGTTAGCTCGGGCAGAATTATTTTTCCGCTGAACAGAGTACAATTACACTCAAGTTGTAGAAACATGAAACAGAAATAGGATGAGTATTGTACTAATATGTAAACGGACAACACTACACGATGTCAAATGCAATTGCAAAGTGACGTTCTCATAAAGAAATGACATCTCAGCACTAAATTGCGGTTTAGATGGGAGAGTAACCACGGAGGGAACGAGACACAAGGGCTTTCACCATGGAGATGGAGAGATGCCATCAGTTCGTGTGCAGCACCTCGATGCATCGTTGCATCACAGAGACCATAATAAAAGGCCATGACTTGAGGAGGCCTTAAATCAGTGGTGGATAGAGCATGGCTGCTACATAGGATGATGACTGTACTGAATTTACCAGCAGCGCTTTGCCACAAGTGCCATCAGAATGAATAGAATATACTGTGGTACAAATTGCTGATGCACAATGGCCTCGAATTATGTCTAAAGCCGTAGATCCTCACCTCACTTGGTAAAAGCCTCAGCTAACTTTGGTCACACAAGATCCACCACCCACCCCTCCCGCCGTTGCAGAAATGGAAAATCACGGAACAGTTACAAAAATATTTACGCTCATTTTGCATTTGCACATTTACAATTTAAATATGTCTTGAATCACAACACGGCTCACAGTCCCTGAGGGAATATATTTTCCACGACTTAAAATATTAAGTTTGAACATTCCAGAAAACAAAAAGAAAGCTGGGAGCCAGTCAACACCTGCTGCCACTTTCAAGTGGCAAAACTACAAATGACTGGGATGTTTTGAAGGTCGTTGGACAAACGTGAGAGAGTGGTAGGAAGCTTTCCCATTGAGCCAATAGCTCCTTTTCAATGGCACCACATTCAAAATAGCTGCTATGGCACCACGCTTGTTGCATGGGGAGCGAGGGTTTACAATGGTTGCACAGAACAAATGCAGGTTGGCAATCATAATTGATGGCATTGCCAAGCAAACTAGAGAAGAGGAATGTAAGTATAATACACTCTCTCCACCCATTAGTGCCACACACTAAATGTAAATTAATTTTATTAACCAGGTCAAGGCCACTGAGCTGTTACCTCTTTTTCAGAGGAGACCTGACCACAAGTGATAGCTCATCAAAGTGGTGATCATATGTGGACATTTATCGTAGCAGCCAAATCATCTCAGTGCATGTTTTTAAATGTGGATGGCAACACTGGTGGACCTGAGGACCATGGGGAGACAACACGCGGTCTCCAAATATACAGGTGTCGGGATCGAACTCATGACCTCTTACGTACCAGGCAAGGGGGGTAACATCTCGCCACCGCGGTGCCTGACGATTAAATTGCAGCAGATATGTTTCTAAACTTATACAATTTTTCTCAGCAAATCTGGTTGTGACTTTTAGATGCCAAAGAATTTAAAATCACACACAGCACATCCACACACAATGACAAATGAAAGGGGCTCCACAATAATTGCTGTATGAATTTTTTTTCATCAAATCGAATTTTCATTATGACGTTTCATTTGAACTCTAAGGAACAGCCTGGGTGCTATCAGCTTTGTGTTTTTTTAAGTGAACTCATGGAAAAAGAACCTCCCATCACATGATGTAAACTGATATCCTTGGCGTTTTGGAGTGCCCTCTACACTGACAACACAAAACACGACCTCCTAACACGTAGTAGTTTTTTCGCAGCCAATATGATTTGTAATTGATTTTGGGTTTGGCAACATAGTAACCTTGCGGAAATGTCTTTTTCGTGATGTAACCAAACATGTGGTGATATAAACACGCCAACCAGAACGTCATAATCACCTTTTTTCATGACCTGAAGATGCTTGCCGCAGGTTCAAGCGAAATGTTAGATATCAAATTGACGCATTTGGTCATGAACATTTTTATTCCAATTTACCTTTGAGCCGAAACGATAATAATTGGCGCATTAAAACGCTTCTACACGTGGCAAATTAATGCTTGGCTATATTGGGTGGTGAAGGGCTACACAACAAGAATGTGGCCAGATCATATACGTGGCCGAAGCCCAAAAATCAATTATGATTCGCTATGCCCATCGCAGTCCCCAGCCACTTTGATTGGTGGGGAGTGGCTGATGCTGTTTTCCTTTGACCAGGTTCTCCTCTGGTGGTGACTCTCATTGGGGCCCTGCTCAAGGACTTTCCTTCTCGCTGGAGCTATTACCTGAAACAGCTCCAGAAAAAGCAATTCAAGCGCATTCGGAAACCGTCCTCATACGACTACGATGCTTTGGACGAGGCCATGGAGATCAGCGTGTCCGCCCTCCAGGTGGAGCTTCAGGATCACTACAACGACCTCGTCGTTTTCCAGAAGGACACCAAAATACCCTCAAAGGTACAGTGGCCACAGGATTTTTGTTTATTTGCTGACAAGGGCCTGACACATCAAACGATCGGATACAAACAGCCCTCTCAGAGTTGTGTAACAGATAAGAGTTCACACGTGCCCCTGATTGAGCAATGTTATAAAACTTTGGAAAAGAGGCGATGGGAGGGAATTCTAAATTGGAGCAGTGCGATGGACTTTCAGTGTGGTGATTTTCCCTGCGTGCATTTTTATTTGTTATGCCAAGGGGTGACCTTTTAAATTAGAAATGTAATCAAACATCAGTGTGTCAGACCCGAAAGGTACAAGCTTATTTTTTTACTTTATCCATTTTGGCAAAAATAGCATCTAAAGTGTTCATTATATATATATTACTTTAGAGTCTAATCATGCAAGTGTGCATTTTTACTAGTGTGATTTTAATTGGTGTAATTGTATCTACTAAACTAATTATTGGATTTGAAAAATACATTCAGCAAGTAAATTGGATATGCTTGTGTTTTTGATAAAAAAAAATATATTCGTTAACATTTTTGATGTCTTCTCGAAGACTTTGCCGTTACACTGTAGAAACGCATTATCGTGCAAAAACACACAACGGTACTTCACAAGGCCAGAGGGGTGGTAACTGTGGCCATCTCAACCCTGAGGGAGACCTTGTGCTCCAAAATTTGAAAAAAAAACCCACGCACAAAAGGTTTTAGACAATCAGCTGCTTGATTTCAAAGCATGGAACATCGACCAATGGTGAGCAAGCCATTCATCACCTGTTCTGGCGATGACTCATTCCCACCCTCCACAGGCGCAAGTCCCACTAATCCAGAGCCAGGTGGTAATCCTGGTGCCCTATTGGGTGATCATCCACTTCCCGGCACGTGCAGCTTGGTAGCACTTCATCACCTGCCGCTCATGTATCTCTAACCAATCAGTGTTCTGACTGCGAGACAAGGCTCGATTATTGTTGAAGCACGGTCGAAAAACCTGACCACCCTCTGAGCAGTTACTGCGCCACGTCATACAAATGGAAGATGGAAAGAGAGAAGCTATGGAGAAAGAGGAACAGACAAAGACACAGAAACACGGGCAGAGACACACGCAAAGAGGATCCCATAAAGATGGTCATGGAGAGGCACACAGCGATACAGACACACAGATAAAGTGAGACACGGGCAAGGTAATGGAGAGGGACATGGATATGTAAGAGAGGGACACAGGGAGAGAGAGATGGAGAAGAGCATGGAGAGAGGGACTTGCAAATAGATTTACACTGAGATACCAAGAGAAATTTGGACACAGAAAGAGATATGGGTGCATAAAGACACACAGACATTAAGATAACGTACAGGCATTCAAAATCTATTAACCAGATGAGAACGCATGAAACCGCGATGGTCTCATTTGGAAGAGACACCAGGGGCACCCATGTAAGCCACAATTCGTGGTTTGGTACGTCGCCCGTACTTGAAATTTATGCGGACCCGCAGAGGCTGCGAGCCCCAGAGACAGCCGCTCGTGTGTGTGACTCACTGTGACTGTAATTAAGAGTTTCTGCTGTGTGCCTGCAGGTTCTGAGTGTGCTGTGGGACATGGATGTGGTGGAGGTGGAGGACACAATGAAGGTCCTGGTGGACAAGTCCCTGGCCTTTCAGCAAGAGGACGCTGACACCTTCACGTACTCCTTGCACGACTTGCAGCACGACTTCCTGGTGGAAAAGAACCACGCTCTGCTGCAGGTGAAACTTGACCATTTGTCCCAAGAGATCGACGATCTTAACTCTTTCCCGTTCCAAGACATCTGCAAGTTGCAGGGTGGAGTCCAATTCACCGCTGAATCTCGGAATGCACAAGCAGTTGAGCGTTAATTTTATTTATAGAGGCGTAGCGTCGTTGTTTTTAAAGACATTGTACTCACTGCAGAGAACCATAATGACATGACCACAGTCTATGATAGCTGAGGCCAAAGTGTGCGACATGGCCTCCCGTGTGGCCTCGTGGGAACCTCGGTACCGGCAAAATTATTTTACTTTAGTACTTGTACGTCATCGGAACAGAATCGGAATAAAAACTGATGATGTAGGAGATTGGGTTTAAAAGGTCAAAGTGATTACCTGCTTAAATCAACATTCAGGTGGTACTCATCTCCTGTATACATCTCTTTGTGAGTGGTGTAAATTATACATTCCCACAGTGGGGACGAGCTGAACCATAGGACAACCGCTGTTTGCTTCCTTCATCAGTAGTTATACTTTTATTGAACCCAGAGAGATGATGGGCTGAGTCACTAGGATCTGATCGCGACCTTCTGATTGCGAGCTGCTCACTACTGCTGAGCCACCTGGAGTGAGTTGACTGATTCCTCGGTGCCACCCAGATGGGTTAATTAGCTGTCTTGGCTTGTACAGTGTAATGCATTTTTTATTTGAACCTTATGGCGGTGCCCCGGGGTACCATAGTACCCTGGCTCTCGCATAATGTCCGTGATGCAGTTATTTTTAGTCTGTTGATGGTCGGCGATGCGGCAATCGACTCATCTCGACGAGCCGTACACGATGCACTATTCAAAGTTGAAATTTTCAATCATGGATTTTTTATTGCTAAAAAATCCATTATCGACATCGCGGAGTAGCACTGATTTCGGATTTATTGGTGCCCCAGTCGTGGAGTTAAGTACACCGCTGGAAAAAATAGTGTCCCAGAAATAAAATATTTAATTTCCTCGGCCATTTTGTATTATTTGGTACCCCGGGGTACTGCCATAAGGATAATTTGGCACATATCTGCATTTTAACATAGCCATTACATACTCTTTGGTTCTTTCGGTAAAGTCACATAGTTAGTAGTGTTGCGCCCGAAACGTCGTGATTTATTTTATTTTATACCTAAGTGACTTTACCGAAAGAACCAAAGAGTATGGATTCCTGCAGTCACGAAAGCTTCAAATCAAGATAGCCATTACACCTGTATATGTGAAGGACTCTACAAGACTGACTGTTGCGCCTCATTCATGCTGTGTTCAACCACCACACTGCAGATCACAATAACTCACCCGCACGCCCGCTCACTCACTCACCACACTGCTGGTCACCTCGCTTCTCTTTATGCTTCATCCCTCGCACTGCTCCACTTTGGAATTTCCTCCCATCATCGTCTCCGTTCGTTCCCAAGCTCTTATATGATAACCTCGTTCAATTCAAGAAATGCGTTAACTTTTGATCTATTACAGCTTTGATTGTGCTATTTGTGCTCCCCACCTGACGTTTTGGGACTTTGAGCCTGTGCTCAGATAATGTCAAATAAATATACAACAAACCTGTACCAATGACAGTATTGTTGTTGTAGTAGCTCGTTCACCACTTGTTGCAGAGGCCGTGGTTCGAATACGGCAGGCCACCCTGGTTATTACTGTGAGTGTGTTACTTATAAAATACTACGTGTCGTCTGCTTCACAATGAACATTAAAGATCCCCTGGTGTCATTTGCAAGGGTAGGCCATTGTGTGCCAGCGCCAGGGTCCGAAATTGAATAAATTATCCGCAAATTACTCAATTTGAATTGTACACAGCAGCAATCATTACCTCCTAGTATCAGACTTATTTCTGCTTTATGAAAAATAAGAATAGGTCTTACCCTTTCTGGCCATGAAACAGGTGTTAAGATGTTCAATACGGACAGCGGCCACTAGGGGTGCCATGAAAATGTACAAGATGAGATGTGATGTAAGGCGAATGGAGTTGCTGAGGCATTTTAATGAGTGCCATACGAAAGCAACTGTGATAATTCAAGATGATGCTGTCCACTTGCAGAAGCGTCACGCGAAGCTTGTCGATCGCTACTTTGCACACTCCGCCAAAAACTTCTCCTCTTTGCCGGACGATGGATACGTGCACTACTTTCTGGCGACTCACATGGCGGAGGCGGGCCAAAAAAAGGTTTGTGCACACATACACAGACATCTCCATGCAGCCGGGTAGGAAAACTATTGGCCTTGGGTTTGATAGTGGCGTTAAAGAGTTGGCTGGATAAAGCGCAGAATTGTCCCTAAGAAGTTTAAAGTTGAATCGAGCCCAAGTAAAATCGCTCTGGAACAAAATGACGTGGTATTTGAGCTAATATAATGGTCACAATAGTGCGGTCTTGTCTGGTGAATCCAGTGCAAATCTGAGTGCAAGGCGAAATACTGGGCTGAGTTTATTGAGTGTTGTATTTACGGCTCACCTGGAGGCGACGTCACAATCGTCAAAGCGCGGCGGAGCAGTGGCTTCCACAGTCTGAGGACATAGTCGGACCAGTTGGCAGTGCTTGTTTCTTTTCAAAAACCCTCATTTTACATGGATTTTCTTTGATATGTTGTCGATATAGGGTTGAAATAACAGTTTTTTTTTTCATTATTCTTCTTAATTATCAACAGACCCAAATATTTTCATGAGTTTGTTTAATATTGTGGTTTCCAATACCCCCAATAGATGGTGACTGGTAGGGATGAGTCTATCCATATGACAAAAATCTTATCAACCCCTGGAAGCATGATGGGCCAATACAGCATTTGAATTTGCAACCTAATGGTTGAAAGCCACTCGCTCTGCTGCTGAGCTCACTGTGTACTGTATTTCCGCATTATAAACTAACTCATGCACTGCATCACAACAGGTAAAATTCAGATGCTGGGGCCAGAGTACAGAACAACTTGCGCAATTATAGAAATTGTGTAAGCTAAGACTCGTAAACTCTTTCCATAAGGGAAGTTAAGGCAAGTAAACCGTGTGATGTGAGGAGAGAACTTCTATTGTCAAAGTAAAACAATGTTAACTGATAATTAATAAAATAACATAATTATTCACATTAATAACAAATATAATAAACATTAATAACACATATACTTGCCCCGACCACAATGACTGATGTGCATGGAGCGATGATGATATGGTGGCCATGTTGCATGGGGTTATTTTTCTGGCCGGTGATTGGTTTGTGAAGTGGGAGTGATGATATAATCCATAGCAACCACTGCCACGCCCCACAGCTTTGCGATCACACCGGGACTCGCATATTTCCTTCAAACTTTGTTACGTTTTGGCCAATTTTGGAGATGACTGTGAGCACACGCTGCTGGATTTTCTGTTTATTTTTTGTCCTCTGAGAGGGGGCGGGGGGGGGGCATTGCATTACAACAGTGAATCTGTGTGCACACTTAAACTTGCGCGCGCATGCGTGCAGGAGCTGTGCGAGCTGCTCTTTTCCCTCGAATGGGTGGAGGCCAAACTGCGAGTCGTGGGCTGTGCCCACCTCATCAACGACTACCTGCAGCACGAGGAGCTCATCACGACCTCGAGCCAGGTGCTTCCCCGCACCGTCGCCGAGTCCTCCACTCCCTCCACGAACTTCAACCTCCTCTTGACTCGCTGCTATTTTCAATTGGGGGTCCATGACCTTGGAAATGTCCGGGAGTGTTTATGAAACCGTATCAGTGTAGTTTGGATGGGTCTTTTTCTCATTGTGGTACAACATTAATTTATAGTTATTAACATATCTATAGCAGCTGGAATTTGCAAGTGAAGTTTTAAAAGAGTCAAGCAGAACCGAGGGAATTGCACGCGTTTTGTTGTTATATTGGAATAAATATGCATTTTATAAAGATACTAGCAGAAGTACCCGGCGTTGCCCGGGTGAAAAATATATTTCTTAATAACCTTACATATATACACAGATGGGCTGCTACCCCTGCCCCCCCCCCCCCCCCCCAGCCACGATCTCCTCGGCCGCTGTGCAGTAATATGTACGGCCTATAGTGTGGTGGGGTGTCGAGGCCTAGTACCGTGCAGAGCCTCCGGCCTCGCCTAAATTGCCCACCCGGCTGAGGCTGGGTACCGGGGCCGTTACCCCCCCCCCCCCCCCCCCCGCGCTACAATAATACTGTCTAATCGCTATAATTGTATTATCTACCGACCCTATAATAGTAATTGCACACATTGGGGTGGGGGGGGGAGTGAAGAGGACGTGAAACTTTGATGAATTTACCTCAGAGTCGTGTGTTAATGCGTGCGCATATTTTTAACGGGAATTCAAAATGGCGTCCACCCCGCAGCGAATGCGTCGCTACCCGTTGCCAGGGGCAACCGCCGTGGAAAACCAAACGGACCAATCGCGTCTCGCAAATCCCTCACATTTCGTCCAATGAAACTGCGTATGGTCCGGCGACACACAGACAAACAGACACACACACACACAGACAGACAGATTTGCGATTTTATATATATAGATTACTGCTCAACACAATCGTTGGTTTGCTATTAGCATGATCTTACACACGTCCAAGAGCTGGATCCCCTCGCCTGATTATCTTGTCCAATGATCTCCCATGAACAAAAAAATGTCTTGGTCACAGTGAAGTGACCTCAGTTGACCACTGAGGTTGTGCAAAAGAGCTTTATAGCTCTTCGGATTCATCCAGTATAAATATTCTGATGCTGACGTTTGAAGAATTACGAGAGGTGTTATGTAACATACTTTCAAATTTATGTAATCTTATTATTGGATCATGCATGGATGGCAGGGTGTGCCACACAAACAAGGATGGATGTCAAAACGCAAGCGAAGTTATCAAGATTGAAAGTTGAGCATCGCATTGTGATTTAGATGAGAGAGTAACCGAGCAGCCAAATACTCTCAACGCATGTTTATAAATTTGGAGGGAAAAACCGGAGGACACGAAGAATAATCTACGCGACCATGGGGAGAACATGCAAACTCCAAATATACATATGTTAGGGTCGGGATCGAACCCATGATCTCAGGCAAGGTAGTTAACATCTCGCCATCGTGGTTCCCTGACGATGAATCTGGAGCTATAGGAATGTTCACCAGAGGAAGCTGGCTCTCTATTGGCAGTAACATGTTGAGTGTCAGTTTTGTTGCCAGATAGAAGGGTAAAAAACCAATTATCATATTTTTACTGGCAAAAGAGATTCCAATGGTGTAATGCTTACCCCGAGCTCTCATACTCTGATGGTGCATTGTCTTTGAGTTGTGCGCCTTTTGGCGTCATCTGGTCCAACCCATGTGAGACTAGGCTCTAAGGAAAGCTGTCTCGGGTGTGAACCAATCAACTTCAAGGACAGTGCATATTATCAGAGTTATGTTTTTTGTTTGCATTATGACTGCAGGTATTGTGGTCTATGCAAACATGACTCCTTGTAAAAAGGTGTCCGTTTTGTTGCCAGATAGAAGGGTAAAAAAACCAATTATCATATTTTTACTGGCAAATGAAATTCCAATGATGTTAAGTACACTTATTATGGAGTATTCTGAAAAAGTGGGAGGCTGCAGGAGTTTTGGATTTTGTTGCTGTGACCCATGATGCTTTGTTTTATTTGTTGGAGGAGGTCGCTAAGTTCTGGAGTGAACCAGGGGTTATATTCTTACTCTCTGTCTTGAGGGGGGGGGCATGCAAACTCATAATACATTCGAATTCAGGACTGAAGACTAATCGGTTAGTCTGCAGTCCCTGCCAGAAAGTCTGCGTGAGGCTTCTCGTCAAATGCGGAACCCGTGCCGGCAAACCCGGGGGCTTAGGCTAGGTTGTACAAATTAGATTATAAAATTTTATTAATTTGGCTATGTCATGTGGTGGGGGGTTTCACAACAAAAAATAGGCTAGATTATTATGTGGCCTGACCCAAAAATCTATTCTGTATCGTAAATAAATTAACATATATTTAAAGTTACAATGTCGATATCGTTGGCTTTGCGTTGCGCACCCACGCTCTGAATCTCTGTGCAGGAGCGGTCGATGTGGAAGGACTTCCTTGCGTTCTTGTCCGTGAATGGACACCACTTTACACCCACGCGGCTGCCAGACGTGCTGCAGCTGGCGCTGTGCCAGCCCGACAGCTCGGCGGTTTGCGCTCAGGCTCGTGCGCGCCTTGCCCACGGTCACCCCCCAAACACCGTCTACCTCGACTGGCTGTGAGTGGTGGCCACGCCGCATTCCCCATTGATTCTTTAGATTTTTTTCTCGGTTCTCTGCATCCTCGGCGCAACGTTACCAAGCTCGGTCATAATTCTCGGCCGGCACAACCTTCAACAACACCCGACCCGTAAATATGTTGTACAAGACTTTTGTCTGTATGCGTAGAGAAGTACACGGTCATCCTCATCATCAACCATGATGAATTCGCTGCTGGATGGTGGCCTTCCAAAGCCGCCTCCACCTCTCATGATCCTGGGACGCAACAAGCCACCTGGGACGTCAAGCCCTGCAACATGTATGCGTTAATATATAGGGGCCGCGGTGGCGCTGGTTAGAGCACTTAACTCGTAATCAGAGGAGTTAACATTCCATTTCGTATAGACTCAGCCCATCATCCTTTCGAAGATAACATTTGTACTATTTTTCAGTCAATAAGTTTATTTGATATGAAAAAATAAGAAGAGGTTTTACCTTTTCCTGCAACAAAAGAGGTGTTAAGATGTTCAAACACCAAATAGATACATTTTACAAGGCATCAAGTCTGCATTAACCACACTTATTTGTCGCAAAACATGCAATCCTCCGAATTTAACCTTTTGAATGGAAGCCTCATCCCAAACCAGAGAATTAGTATCTTGCTATTTAAAGATCCTCCATGGTGTGTTTAAAATTGAACTTCAAAGCTGCATGTCTTGCATATTTTTATCTAAATTAAATTTTCCTACCCCGTGTCCTCATTGCAGACTGCTGTTTAAGCTTTACAGGGTGCAATATGATGCATAATGGAACGGCATTTGATTAAAATATTACTGCAATTCGGAATTGAGCAGCTTAATTTATTGATGGCATTAAAATTTAGATATAAATTGTGTTAAATTTGGCAGCAGGGTGGTGCAGTGGCAACACTTGAGCCTGGTTTCGATTCCCGACTGGGGCACATTTATGCGTGGAGTTTTGTATGCTTTCCTCCTGCTCTGCATGGGTTTCCTTCGGAGTTTCCTCCCATAACAAAAAAAAAACCACCCCCATTGTAACTGGTTTTGGCCAAACATTCCAATGCAAAATTTTTCCTGCAAATTACTCAATCAGATTATACATGGTAACATTGCCGCCCACTGTGAAAACCTGGCAGGACCCTCCTGGCAGTCTTGAGACTCAGTGAGGCTTTCCTTGGTAAGCAATTAGTCAGTGGTTGAAGTGTCCATAAAAATATAATAGGGTTTTTCCCCTTTTTTCTGGCAATAAACTGAAACCTTTTTACGAGGATTCATGTCTGCATTAACCACAATACTTGCAATCAAAATGCAAACAAAAAACATACTATGATAATATATGCATTGTCCTTAAAAAAAGTTTTCAGCTTTGTTGCCAGACAAATGGGAAAAACCCTATTATTATATTTTGGTACTGGAAAAGGAGGTCTAATGATGTAGATGCTCACCCCAAGCCCTCATTACTTTGATAGTGCATTGTCTTTGAGCTGTAAGCCTTTTGGCGTCCTCTGATCGAGCACCAATTGGGTCGAGGCTCAAAAGAAAGCCGTCCCTTGGTGTGGACCAATCAGTCCCTCTTGTGAACGTGGTGAAGTTCGATCTGTTCGTCACGTCACCACCGATTAATTATACGCTTACACAGGAGGGTACACATATCAGTGGTCTGTAGTAGTGTAGTGTGTTGTATGAGTATTGTGTTACATGCTTACGCAAGAGCTATGGATACTGTTCAGTTTGCATGTTCTCCCTGTGGTGGTGTGGAATTTTCTTCTGGTCCTCCGGTTTTTCCCTCCACATTTAGAATCAACATCACGTGTTTAGAGTATTTGGCTGCTATACATTTCCACGTGATAAGCCATTTCGTTGAGCTATCATTTGTGGCCAGGTCACTTCTAAAAAAGAGCTATATAGCTCAGTGGGCCTTACCTGGTAAAACAAAATATTGTTTAGCTTAGCTCGATTCAGAATCAGAATTTTTATCTTGAAGGAATCCGATGAGCTATTAAGCTCTTTTTCACAGATGTCCATTAGGGGCGAGTCAGAAAGTTACAACACAAAACGGGAGGAGTGCAAAGTGTAGGAAAGGTAAACAGATCATTAAATATAAATATATAAACTAGGTAAAGTATTTAAGTTCATATTGCATGTATCACCAAGCTCAACATACGGTTATGTTTTTTCAGTCGATTTTCAAATTCCAAAGAAAGTAACACTCTCAGGATCGTTTTTCTAGTGGCCATTACATCGGCCTGTAGGCTTTGTAGCATTGCAGGCCCTGTTGTGCTCTCACATGAACTCATTTGCTTGGTTGTATGTTGATGAGTGGGCATGGCTTGTTGTTAGCGGCTTCTAACCGTGTATATGATGACGGCACGCTAATTCCTAGCTGGAACCTTGGGTTTTTTGGAGTGCGAGGATGTCGATTTTGTTCGTCTTCTGGATTTTCGCTAGATGGTCGCACTTTGCCCGGATCTGTACACAACCACGGTGATTGATGGAAGGTTTGGTCCTGAGCAGGAACACTCTGATGGCTTCTAAAGATGATCTTCCCACCGAGAGGTCGACGATTGACATTTGGTCGCCATGCTAATGGCATTCGTTGTGGCTTCAAGCATAATGGGGTGTGACCGCAAGATGGCCGTTATCTTCCACCCCTTTGTGCTGGCACGTGGCAGGAACAAGGCATGTGTGGCGGTGTCGCAGCGCTTGGTGGTGCGTGCGCATGCGGGTGCCGTGTACCATGCTGCCTTCTCGCGCTCGGGGGAATACGTGGCGTCGTGCGCTGGCGACGGCTACCTCAAGGTAAACAACTGGGCGCCTGGCCGCCTCGCATCACCCGCTCTCTTTTATCCCTGCGTCATACTCTCCGGTCATCATGTTGTCTATGACATTCATCCACATCCTTCCCCACACTGTCTTGTGCCCAAGGTGTCATCTTTTTATAAAAACAATGTCAATGATTCGGTTGAGACTCGTGTAGACAATGCAGTGATGCTGTGTTTGAGTTGGCTCGCACAAACTGGTGTACACTCAAAGACAAAGATCCCCCATATAACCTGAACAGACTGTTGGGGCAAGTGCTGTTAGCGAGCACCAATGAAGGCCAGCGTGGCACATAGGGGGGAGGGTGGCCAACACGACACCCGTCTTTGTCTCCCCAGTGGTAATGTTTGCACACCACACCAGGTACTCATTTGAGACTGTGTCAACCTAGGGGAGGCCCATGACCGGTTCAGATAATTGTCACTGGTGTTGGCCATGAGTGGGAATCGAACTCAGGTCGCCGTGTTCGTGGTGCAGCGCGCTACCCGCTACACTACACATTCACACACTCTCTCACAAACACTTATTCGGCACCGCAAGGCTCCCACTATGTCTGGATGCCGTTTTTATTGCGCTTGTTAAGGTGTGATGTGAAACGCATAACGCACGTCATCCACGCCCTGGGCCAGAATCGGATGCTTAGTGAGGGGCCAGCGGAGCACCAATTGGTTTTGGGTCGGCACGGGAAGCAGCCGGCGGGGTACCCACTCGTACCATGACGGCTCCTCGGTGACACGTCCCCGAGGTGCCAGTGGAAAAAATGGTTGTTGTGAGTTTGAATGGTTGTGCACATTTGTTAGTGTTTGTGGTTTGTGCTGTGTGTCCGGAACATAGAAGTGGAATTCCCGAACAGGCGAGGAGCTGATGGCCACCTACGCCCACGACGAGCCTGTCCTCTGCTGCACCTTCGCGCCAAATGGGAGGGTCATCGCCACATGCTCCGCCGATCACACCATCAAGGTGGGACAACCAAACCCGCCAGGGCGCATCGTCGGCTTCCCCATGTCGCTGCTCCTTGGTGAACCAGGTTCCAGGGAGAGATTTTTTTGCCAGCCTAAGGCCATTACATTTGTAATAAAAGACTCGGACACTTCTCTCTGTCCTGTGTCCTTTATTTGGGTTCGATCTCTTTTCCCTCACGGCACTCCCCTATACTCTTCGCTGTGCAGCCCCAGGCTGCTGTCGCTCACGTAGCCCCCTCACGACACTCCCCTATATACTCTTCGCTCTGCAGCCCCAGGCTGCTGTCGCTCACGTAGCCCACTTCCCTCCTAGCAGACCCGCTGCTGTCTCGTCGTGCAGACCCCCGCTGCTCTCTGCAGCCTCCTCGCTGCTCTTGCTGCCCCGGGGTCGGTCACCGTTGGCCGACGGTGCCGATCCTCGGGGTCCGTGTGTGTGGCGATCTCGCCACTCTCTCTCTCACTTTCCGCCCTGCGTGGCCTCACACTTTCCCAGTCTCCGATCACTCCCCTACTGCTTCCGGTTTCTCCCCTTATAGACCTGAACCCTCTCCCCCACGTGACGTAACTCCTCCCCCCATGACGTCACTTCCGGGAGGTCGTTTACGCCCGCATTACACCACCCTCCCCCGTAGAGAAAATCCAGCCGACCTCGGCTGAACACAACTCCAACAAGCAATGCGAGCGAACACGACCGAATACGAAAAAGGACACAGAACACACAATATTATATCGAAAGAACAAGAACACAACACAATAATTAACGAAATGTGAGGGATTTTGAGCGGGTGCTCAAAATCCCTCCCGCCGAGCGGGAACGTGGCAGGGTTTTAAGAGCGACAGGCTGAAGTTCGTCTGTCGCTATTGGAGGCCTGGCAACGTCCCGGTCCCCTATTCTCGAAGGCGCAGCATCAGAGGCGTCCCGCAATCGCGTCCGCGGCGGGGTTGGAAGGGCTGCGGGTCTCAAAGGTTCCGCAGCCGTGTTAGGCGCACCCCGAGCTGAGTCTTCTTTCCCCTGCCGCGTCACGGCCGGCTCGTCTGTGCTGGCGAATCCTTTCTTGGAGCGGCCGCAGTCGAGGCCTCCTGCTGGGGCGGACCCGGGACGCGGGCCCAGCAGTCCCTGGTGTAATGGCCCTTACGCCCGCAGCGGAAACAGTCGATGTCGTTGCGCCGCGCTGCGGGCGCCCCGTCCCGACGCGGCCGTGTCGGCGGCGCAGCCCGCGGCCCCGGCCCACCGCGGCCCGGCCACGGAGCAGCAGCAGCCGACAGCTCCTGCGGGCTCCTGTCGTCCGGCACATAAACTGCCTTCTTGGGGTCCCAACCCAAGGCTCCCCCTTCGACGATGGGCCCCCCCGTCTACGCCGTAACTTGCTTCCACCGGCGCAGGTTGAACTGGGCATCCAGACATTTAGCCGCAGCCCGGGATGTGAGCTTCTCGTGACCACACACCGGCATAGGAATGCCGAGATCCCGGGACAGCTCCAGCATCTTCCCCAGGATGAGAGGTTCCAGCAGGTCAGGCTCCGTCTCCGGGTATGCAGCCATAGCCAGCTCCAGTACCGCGCCCCTATACGCCACTGGAGACTCCTCGGGTGCACAAACCGGCGATGAGCATCATCCGGCGGCTCGTAAGCGTCTGCCATTTCGTCGAACACACCTCGCAGCGTTTTCTTTTTCGCGGCTTTTATAGAGCGAAAGAATCTAACGGACTCGTCATCGAGAAGAGTCGGAAGAACTTCTAATGCCTCGGCGTCAGTCCACCTCGCCGAGCGTACCGCTGCCAAAAATCTGCAGGCGAACGCACTCCAATCGCCCCCGATGGAGAATTCTTTGACAGTCGTTAAGTGACGACTGCGACTTCTTGGCGCGCTCCCTCCAGCCGCTGACTCATCCGGTGGCATATTCAACATGGCGTCGCAACGTGGTGTCGACAAGATGGCGGCCTTCCGCCGCGGAGGGCACAAAATGGCGGCTTCCCGCCTTTCCTCGTGCGCCACGCCCAAGATGGCGTCTTCGTGCCGCGTGGCCGATGGCGTCGACAGCGAAGACAACCCGGGCTCCTGCAGACCACCAACATCTCCTTCTGACGCCGCCCTCGGCGTGACGAGCTCACACAACTGTGCAAGTACGTTCTTGAGAGTTCCAAGTTGCTCCGCCATCTGACTCCATCTTAAATCCGCGTCCTTTGGTGCAGATGGGTCCGCCGACGCGGCGACATCTTGGACCCCCGGACCCGCACTCGTCCCAGCACGGATCTCCTCCTCTGCCGGAGTCAGGTCCACCGCAGGAGGAAGGTCATCGTCGTCGGAAGATGAAGCCGATGCCGGAGACGGAATATTCTTTTTCTCAGTTGTTTTGCCATGCCGTTACACATTTGACACCAGTGTAATAAAAGACTCGGACGCTTCTCTCTGTCCTGTGTCCTTTATTTGGGTTCGATCTCTTTTCCCTCACGGCACTCCCCTATACTCTTCGCTCTGCAGCCCCAGGCTGCTGTCGCTCACGTAGCCCCCTCACGACACTCCCCTATATACTCTTCGCTCTGCAGCCCCAGGCTGCTGTCGCTCACGTAGCCCACTTCCCTCCTAGCAGACCCGCTGCTGTCTCGTCGTGCAGACCCCCGCTGCTCTCTGCAGCCTCCTCGCTGCTCTTGCTGCCCCGGGGTCGGTCACCGTTGGCCGACGGTACCGATCCTCGGGGTCCGTGTGTGTGGCGATCTCGCCACTCTCTCTCTCACTCTTCGCCCTGCGTGGCCTCACACTTTCCCAGTCTCCGATCACTCCCCTACTGCTTCCGGTTTCTCCCCTTATAGACCTGAACCCTCTCCCCCACGTGACGTAACTCCTCCCCCCATGACGTCACTTCCGGGAGGTCGTTTACGCCCGCATTACACATTTACAGTGTAATTGCTTTCATCATTTGAAGCAGAGACTTTAATAAAGGTATGAGTTTTTACTAATTTTAAACAAATAAATGAATACAATACTCACCAACGATGATTCGGAAGCTTGGTGGAATGCGTTGGGGGCCGTCCATAAATTCTGTCACGCACCTGGGGTGGGGGGGGGGTCATACATTTGTGACGATGTGTAACGTGGGGGGGGGGGGTTTGAGAAATGTGACGTCACATCAAAATGCGCAACTTTAAATAAATATTAACAACACGTTCTAATAATTAAATGGACTTTTTAATAAATGTTTTCTCCTACAACATCAGAGTGCAGCGCCACATTAAATATGCACTACAATAACAATAGTTGAAAGCGATTTTAAGCATGTTTTATTTTTTTTTGGGGGGGGGGGGGGGCAGAGCTTTGTGACGTCATATTTGAGGGGGAGAGGTCTGACCTTTTGTGACGCCGTGTGACGGGGGGGGGGGGGGGTAAAAAATCGTCCAAAATCGCATGACGTCATTTATGGACGGCCCCTTGGATGACTGAGTAGTGGAGTCAAGAGAGTGCAAAGAGGGTGGTGGATCATCCGGCTGCTGCTCTCACTCTTCTTGTTGTTGCTAAGCTTTCCCCTCTTATGCACTGGCCACTCGCTCTAATTTTATCCATAATAGAGGTTTTTTTTTGGGTGAGTTTGCGTAAATATGTCGTTAAACCTGCCACCACCTGACACAGCCAATTAGTAAGGTTTATCACGTAAACAATACATGCCAATTCATTACTAGTACAGCACACCGGTGTGTTAGAGACTAAACCCACAACATTTACAATTTGAGTACGAGGTTTTACCAGTAATTACAACTAGCATCAGGCAACAACCCGATTTATGGAGAAATCTTCCTGTTTCGTTCTTAAATAGAGGGATAAATGTGATGTCGTCACTTGTGAACCAATCAGGTGCGAAGGCCGGGAGGGGGGGGTTAATGTATGTGTAATGAGTGGCTCCGACACGGTAAGGACTTCAAGTTGTTTATTAATTCATCTTCGGTAGAGCCTCGTTTCTCTCTCTCTCTGCGGATGTCCACCCGCTCGGGTAGCTGCGCTGCCCCGTGCCACGTGGCACTCACCCGCTCACCAATACGCCGTTGGCTGACGGCGCACTAGGGAGCGGCTGAGCGGCTGGAGGTCGAGCCGCCAAGTGGAGATGGCGGGGCAGCAGCGACGGGGAGCTTCTCTTGATTTTCAGACACCGACCCCTAACGTTGCTGTGCCCCCGGCTTATATTCACTCCCCGGAGTCTAAACCCCACCTCTGTCCATGCCCCTCCTGGAACCTTCGGGAACGTTACAGAGGCACCGCCCCATCACCTTTCACCTAGATGTAATGCCCACTATAGATAAACATAGCCTGTATAAGGTAATGTACCCCCAACAATAATACAGGAGATGGCGCTCTCTTATTACATATGCATATACATTACAATGGATATCCATTACCGGTTTGGATATTTATAGGGTAATCAACATACGTTATACATGCACATGCACGCACATGCCTGTTTTTGTGAGCACGTAAAATCGCAGTACCTATTGTTGTCTGCTCACATTTAATCACTATCGACCTATGGTGACCTGTATAGGCATGCAGTTAAACAGTGTAGTGCAGCACTAAGCCTTTAAATATCTGAACGAGTACAATATTTTTTTATTTCTCTCAATTTCGATGGATTCTGTAATTAGCCTTGGCCAGTAGTAACTAGTTTTGTACAGGACTTCAACATTATCAAAATCAATTGAGTGTCTTTGTTGGCACGCATGTTCTAACGCTGCCAACAGTTATATTTGGGAATATTCAATATTCCTTTAGTGTTTTTTAAGTTCCATGCTGATCATTCATTCTTTCTGACCAACATAGCATTTGCCAGAAGAGCAATTAATCTGGGACACACTTTCTGTTGGCTTGAAACTCCATTTCCGGAAATATTTCCCAATGGTGTTTAGGTCTTGGTTCAGAGTGGATTCGATGTTGTGGAAAGTGGTTTGCTTGCGTTACCAGGACAAGGTCATCCGCATAGACAAACGTGCGTGACCCTTTGTAGGATAATGCTCTGAGAGACGGAGCAATGAATTCTGTCCATGTACAGGTGCTGGATGGATTCTTGTATTGTAAGGTGGCGGCGGCACCAGCTCAGGGAGGCCTTCATTCAGCAGGGTATTGATCATGGATGATGATGATGCTCTGTGATACTCAACTGTGGTGTATTGTGAATGTGTGCTGTGGGTATAACTGCAGCTGTGGAATGCGCAGTCTGGCCGGCTGCTGGGCACGCACAGGGCTCACGACGGCGAGGTGCAGCACTGCACATTCGCGCACGCCTTCCACAAGCCACTGCTCGCCACGTGCTCTCAGGACTCCTCCATCAAGGTACAACGCTCACACGGGTTCAGTGGCTTCATCTCGGCTCGCGCTCACCTCGGTCACCCAGTGGGTCTACACACGGAGCAGCAGTCATCGCCTTCCGACTGCAACCTCGTAGCCATTTGTGGGCAGGTGCTCGGTCACCTCGTTATGCGCAGCAGTGGTTCTCAGAGTGCGGTCCCCGGTACCACCTGTGTGGTCCGCGGGGCTGTGATGCAAACGCCAGTTGATCCAGACTATAATGACAACGTTTATACCTTTTGTGTCGGACGTGGAAAAAAAACTTATACCTGTGTAGTGAGTTCAACTGAGTCGCAGACGTACTCTTTGGAGGCAGCACATTTATTAACACCAACACACGGGGCAACTGCCCCTTTACAGAATAACAACCTATGGTGGTGACCACCAGGCTAACTACACTAATTGCACCGTAACTAGCTACAAAGGACCGGACCGCAGCTTGGATCCTGGTCCACGTGTTGGAGACTCTGTAGGACGTAGAACGTAGACAAAGGTTTCTTCAGCATGAACAACAGCGCCAGTCCCTCTGGGGGACCCGGCTTATATCCTCTGTGGCGTGGCTGGCTCCACCCTTGGCCACGACCAACTTCCAGAATCCTCGAGCAGGATCTCGACCCTGACACGTGACCACCCCTAGCCCCAACTTGGGGCCCCTGTGTAGACTTAACCGGTCACGTGTCCTCTGGGGTCAACCGGAGTGCCACGGCCCTTAGTAACCCTATTTCCATGGCCGGCACTCCCACACCCTATCCTTTCGGGGCCGACACTCCACACCAATCGTGGTGCCATCCAGCATTATCGATCAGCGCTTACCAAACCCCTCTAGGGCCGGTATTGCACCCACATCCTAGTGGTGTCCGCGATGTCAATACACCGCACGCCGTGCCTCTCTAGGGCCGGCATTACATAGTAATTTGAATAATTTTAGATGACTGGTATTTCTGAAAAAGAGCTTCATAGCTCATTGAATTCCTCTCGTCTCAATAAAGATTCTGCTTGAGAGAGAGAAGTGAATGCGTTTTGTCACAAATGGTTGTGGGCTGGGTGGTCCGCGAATTTGTTCTTATCGGCCGAGTGGTCCGCGGGCCAAACAAGATTGAGAAAGACCGGTGCTGCACAGGAACAGCCACTGGGGAATTCCCTTTGCATATTTATGATCAGATGTGAGGCGCATTGAGTTGCTGAGCCATATAAGAAATGCCATAATAAATGCAACGATTATTATGAATGTACTTCAGTGTCGTTGGTCCAATATTTATTTTGTACATGCACTTATGTTGCATTGTATTGTATGTTTAATTACGTACGTGATTATATCGTTCTATATTAAAATCCAGAGTAAATGCAATTAATCTTGTTCGCAAGAATATTCATGTTGATATTTTTGTTTTACAAAAGGGTAGGAAATGCAATTTATTTGCTGATGCTTTCCAGCTAAGTCTGCATGCATTTGTAGTATTGTACAGACAGACTCTTCAACGTCTTTTAGTAGCACACACTTTATTTGTGAATACAGTCCCTATGCACCGAGGGGTATACGGTCCCCTCACCCGTTACACTCCGAACGTACAAGCCTACAGGCTACTCATACCCCGCTCCTTCAGTGTCCTCTGACTGGACCTAGGGAGATGTCTCCCTGACCACTGGTTACTCTGAACCCTAGCCCTTATAAGGGCTGGAGGGCTTGGTCCAGGGTCCTATGCTTCTTCCGCCGTCTTGGGTCCTCGTGTCGTCGAACTCCCCGAGAGCTCTGAGCGTTCTGGCTTTATACTCGTTCGTGGCCGGGTTGTCCAATCCCCGGCCACCTTGTGGAACCCTGTGATTGGTCGTTCCCAATCTGCTTTTCGATCCCAATTTACCCTATCTGACCCTGACCGTTAGGTTGCGCGGGAAAACCTTGTTTACGGTCAGCTCTCACAACTTGTGAGACCCTGACCGTTAGTTTGAGCGGGAAACCCTTGTCAACGATTAGCTCTCCCTGTTTGTGAATATCGAGTGGGTAACTCTACTACATCACCCTCCCCTTCGGAAGCCTCAGCCGTCCCGGCTGTTACAAGCAGAAAATCCCCATCAATGAATCAAAGTGTGTGTGTGTGCCACAACCAACAAGAACAGGTACATCCAACAAGAACAGGAACACCCACTACAAATACCCCCCCATCAACAACGCAACATATGTACATGGTCAGAACCAATCACAAATAACGACATTCGCGACGCACAACGCATGCAGCATCCAGCTGCCGCAAAAAAAATGATGGGCAATCAAGAAAAGCGACGCGATCTAGCCCGTGTGTATTTCGCGGGCCCGTCGTAGGGGATGGGTGCCCTTTTCCGGGCTGCAGGCTGACCAGGCATCCTGGCAAAAATGTCAGCAGGGGCAGGAGGCCTCTCTGCGGGGACCCTTGGAGCAGACGGGTCGGGCAGCCTGGCAAACATGTTGGGCGGGTCAGGCATCCTGGTAAACATGTTGGGCGGGTCAGGCATTCTGGCAAACATGTTGGGCGGGTCAGGCATTCTGGCAAACATGTTGGGTGGGTCAGAAGGTCTCTTTGCAGAGACTCTTGTTGTAGACGGGTCAGGCATCCTGGCAAACATGTTGGGCGGCTCCCGGGGCCTTCGTGCAGAGACTCGTGGCTCGCACGGCTCCCTCAGTCCCGCATCATCTGCAGGAGGAATGAGACGTCTGCGCTGTGGGTTAGGTACCAACGGGGCGACATCCGGCTCGTCGGGCATATCACACGCTCGGCCCTCGTGTTTTGAGTGTGACGCAGAGCCGCGCGGAGCAACAAATGGCTTCAGACGAGAGGGGTGCACGAACCAGCGCCGTCGTCCCCAACGTATCTTAACACACTGTGGGCGCATTACCTGGACCACCTCAACCGGACCTCGCCATGGTTTTAGGAGTTTAGCCGATGTGGACACCGGCACCTGGGGGCAATGAAGCCACGCCATATCACCTGGAGCCCACCGATGCACGGACGTGCGAGGGGCCTGCAACCTCGAATTTGCCCGCTGGCGGGAAGCGGAATTTTCGATCGCCGCATCACGAGCCTCAGACAGCTTTTGCAGGTTGAACCGCAAATGGTCAGTGAGCTTCGATGACTGTGGAAGCTGCTCTATCCCAAGCCGTACATCAGCGGGGGGAATGGCCTCCCTGCCATACATTAGGAAAAATGGGGAGAACCCTGTCGCTGCATGTGGCGCCATGCGGTAAGCAGCGAGGACCCCTGGGATCTGCAGGTCCCAGTCTAAGTGGGATTCGTCAACCTGATGGCATAGCATAGAGGTGAGGGTTCTATGCAACCGCTCCACCATGCCATCTGTTTGGGGGTGATAGGGCGAGGTGCGCACCTTCTTAGTGCCCAACAGGCGGCATACCTCACTCAGCAGGGTACTGGAAAAATTTCTTCCCTGATCGGTCAGCAACCGTTCTGGAGCGCCCTTGTCCAGCACATAGCCTTGAACAAAGGCGTCCACCACGGCTGCTGCTGACTGGTTGGGGAGGGCCCAGGCCATAGGCCACCGTGTAAAATACTCCACCCCAACCAGCAGGTACTTGTTACCACGAGGCGTTGTAGGGAAAGGCCCCAAAATGTCGAGAGCAACCAGCTCGTTCACACGGGATACCGTGATGGGCTGCAGCGGTGGGCATGCCGGCGTCGCTGGAGGTTTACGTTGCGCACATTGGGTGCAGCCCGTTAAAATATCAGTTACGTCGCGAAGCATGCCCGGCCAGTAAAATTGTAATCTTAGCAACCCAATGGTTTTATGCACACCCAGGTGCGACAATCGCTCGTGTGCTGCGCACACAGCCGAACACCGCAAAGCCGATGGCACTACAATTTTGTACTGGCAAGAATCAGCATCCCAATGCATGAGCAGACCGCGGCGCATGGCAAAAGAGTTCGATTTACTTGAACGTGAGGACAAATCACATGCGCGACGACGCAGAGGCAACAATGACGCATCATTCATTTGGTGCCGACCCCATTCGTCCAACGTTATCCCCAGCAAGTCGTCACTTGCTGGCGGATTTTCGTGGTCCGCACCCGGCGCAGGATCGGAAGGAAGGGCAGCAGAAACCGTTTCAAGAGGTGCAACCGGGCGTACTATTTGCGGTCTGCACCGGCCAGAACCCGTAAAACAGGCGCATTGTTCTGACGGGAGGCGAGATAGCGCGTCCGCATTACTGTGCTGTGTACCCTTGCGGTAAATCACCATAAAATTGTAGTCCTGGAGGACTTCAAGCCATCGGGAGAGCTGGCCAGACGGTTGATCAATGCGCAAAGCGTATTGTAACGCAGAGTGATCGGAGCGCACGGTAAACCGTTGACCGTACAGGTATGGCCTGTATTGTTGTATAAAGTGAACAATGGCCAGCAGCTCGCGTCGGGTTACGCAATAACGTTGCTCTGCAGGGGACAAAACTCTGCTTCCATAGGCAACCACCCTCTTAACGCCCTCAATGATTTGGGACAGCACCCCGCCGATCCCGGTGTTACTGGCATCGGTGTCCAGAATAAACGGCTTTGCAAAATCGGGGTAAGCCAGGGGCGGTGCTGCTACAAGAGCATTCCGTAAGGAGTCAAATGCGGCCTGTTCCGCGTCTCCCCAATGAAATTTCAGCCCTTTCGCTGTAAGAGCGTGTAGTGGCTTGGCGATTGTAGCGAAACCAGCCACAAAACGTCGGTAGTACGACGCGAACCCGATAAAACTGCGAACATCCCCAGCAGAGGTGGGGGTAGGCCATTGGCTGACACATTTAGTCTTTTCAGGGTCTGTGGAAATACCCGAGCGGCTGACTATGTGGCCTAGATAGCGCACAGACTCACGCAAAAGGTGGCACTTCTGCGGTTTGAATTTAAGGTCCGCAGCTCGCATCTTTTCGAAAACAGCGCGCAACCGTTCAATGTGTTCGTTGAACGTGCGGCCAAAGACGATAACGTCATCAAGATAGATAAGGCATGAGTCCCACTGGAGCCCAGCGAGGACCAGCTCCATGAGCCTCTGAAACGTCGCTGGAGCTGAGTGGAGCCCCATGGGCAATCTATTAAACTCGAAAAGGCCCTGTGGTGTCCGAAAAGCAGTCTTTGGCTTTGACGCTTCGTCGAGGGGGAGTTGCCAAAACCCTGACAGAAGGTCCAAAGTGGAAAAATAACGCGCCCCTGCCAGGGCATCCAATGACTCATCCATACGTGGAAGAGGATATGCGTCAGCCACAGAAATTTTATTTAGGCGCCGAAAATCTACACAGAATCGAAGACTGCCATCGTGCTTTTTGACCAGCACTATCGGGGCACTCCAGGGGCTGTTGGAAGGAGAAATGATATCAGCCGCCAGCATGTCGTCAACTGCCCATTTAACATGCTGTTTCTCCGCAGGGCTGAGCCGAAACGGGTTTTGGCGGATAGGGGCAGCGTCACCAGTGTCAATGTGGTGACGTAGCAGCTTGGTGCAGCCAATATCAAATTGTGATTTGCTGAACACATCCGAGAATTCCCGCAAAAGAGCCCGCAATTTACTCTGCTGTGACCCGGATAAATCGCCGGCATCCGCGCAGAGAGCGTCAATCCATCCCTCGTCAACGTTATGAGGGCGAGGCTGCTGACTGTTCGCTACGTGTCCGACAACCCCGGTTCCCAGAGGCGCCACTGTCGCATGAGCGAGCACTGTCCCCTGTGAAATGACGGTGTCTGACAGACCGACATTCAAAACTTGTATAAATGGTTCCCTGTCGCCCGCTACAAGAGTCTGTGCGGCCACCAACGAAAGGCTGTTAACTGCTGTGTTGGAAGGTCCCAATAAAATGCCATTTACCGAGGCGGTGGGAGCGAGCGGTTTTTTTAACCGTAAGGGTACGAGCATTTGTGCCCCTGGCGGAATGCGTACAGCGCAAGCCGCAAAAGCTTGTACAGAAACATTTTCCGTCCGTGAATGCGTGGCCGCGGGTAAAAATGCCATCCGGCGGCCCGAGGGAAGTTCAATACATCCCTGATCGATAAGGATTTTAATGGGCATTTTGGCAAGAAAATCAGTTCCCAGAAGGCACGGCACCGCAAGGGAAGAAGACACAAAAACAGGGCCGGCCAATTTAATATCTCCAATGGCAATTTGCGCCCGAATTTGGCCGAGAATCCCCAGGGAACTTCCATTTGCAGCGAAAAACGGAACGGAAACCTTTTCCAAAGATCGACATCGCACGGGCAGTATATTGTAAATCAACTCAGAGATGATAGTGGCCGATGCACCGGTATCGACAAGCACGCGCACCTCTACCCCCTCGATCGAACCAACGACCACCGAGGAACCCGCCGTCGCTGCAACCACTCTATGGGCCAGCTCTGACCACTGCCCGGGTCGCAGTGGTCGTGAAAAGTCGGCCAAACGCCGCGCATCATACGCCGTGTTCCGAGCGGAGTCAATGGTGTGTTGTGGTGTGTATGAGGACCGAGCGTGTGGGGTGCCGCGACTTGCCTGGTTATGCTGCGCTGCTCTGGAAGCTCTGTAGTCCCGGTCTCGGGATCCGGCGGAGCGGCGGCGAGGTGCACGGCAGTCGGGAGAGAAGTGGCCTCGGCGGCCACAGTTGAAACACGTCGCGTCGTCGCGGGGGAAGGGCCGTCCCCGCTCCCAGTCGTTGCGGCGACTGGTGCGATTTGGTGATCGCTGGGGCGTCGCGCTGAACGTCGAGAAGACTCGATCAGGAGAGCGAGCGTTGTCCCTGCTGGCAGGTACCGATGTCGTAGCCGAAGCGGTGATGGTCTCGTCCTGGTCCAGCATTAAGTGAGCATGAATGCTCCGGGCAGCTCGCAGTGAGCACATGTCCTCGTCATCCACGGCCTGGATGACAAGGCGCAGCCCCCTCGCCATCTCCAGCAGCTTCTGAAGGACGAGTGCGTCGATAGCCTCATCGCCCATGCGGGGGTAAGCCGCTCTTGCCATGGCGAGTAGCGCGGTGCGGAACGCCAATGGCGACTCCCTTGGCTTGCACCGTCTCTCGTAGAATTGGTGGCGTGTGGCGGAAGGAGGTCCGTAGACATCAGACAGCCGCTGAAGTGCTGCTTGTAGTGTCGCCCTTTGTCGCTTGGGAATGGAGATGAGTGCAGCGAGAGAGTCATCGTCCAAGGTGGCTGGCAATGCACGAAGTGCTTGTGCATCCGACCAGCCCACCATCTCCTGGTGACTGAGGAAGCGACGTTGAAATGCTGCCCAGTCGCCCCCTGTGGACGAGAATTCGCGAAAGACAGGCAGTCGCTGCTGTAGAGCAGCTGTGTCGTCGTCTTCGTCAAGCTCGGACTCGGTTCTGAACGCAGCGATGGCTTGGTCGACAACATGTACTGTACGGCGTCGCAGCCGTGATGACGCGGTGTTGTTGGAGTGTCCTGCAGAGGCAGCATCGCTCTCTGATGACGCAGTGTGTCGTGATTGGCCCCCGGAGGTCCCAGCATGCACTTGGCTTCCACCCCCACGTGACCCATCGGCGGGAAGGACGTTCTCTTCCGGGTTTGCGATGGCGGGGACGCTCGCTGTCGGCCGCTCCTCCCCGCCCGCAGCCCCCAGGGTAAGTTGCTCCAGGATGGCTGCTGCAGCATGCAGCAGCTGGGCGAGGCGGGCGTGAGCAGCCTGGTTGCCGTCGCTCGCGGCGATCGGCTGCACAGCTGGTGGTGGGTCGGCTGGCAGCACGCCAACATCTTCAGCGCCGCCCGCAGCACCCACGGGTGAGTCGGAGCTTGCATCATCGGGACTTCGCGTGCGGTTCGTTCGTCTTGTTTCCATCTTCTGACGCCAAATGTAGTATTGTACAGACAGACTCTTCAACGTCTTTTAGTAGCACACACTTTATTTGTGAATACAGTCCCTATGCACCGAGGGGTATACGGTCCCCTCACCCGTTACACTCCGAACGTACAAGCCTACAGGCTACTCATACCCCGCTCCTTCAGTGTCCTCTGACTGGACCTAGGGAGATGTCTCCCTGACCACTGGTTACTCTGAACCCTAGCCCTTATAAGGGCTGGAGGGCTTGGTCCAGGGTCCTATGCTTCTTCCGCCGTCTTGGGTCCTCGTGTCGTCGAACTCCCCGAGAGCTCTGAGCGTTCTGGCTTTATACTCGTTCGTGGCCGGGTTGTCCAATCCCCGGCCACCTTGTGGAACCCTGTGATTGGTCGTTCCCAATCTGCTTTTCGATCCCAATTTACCCTATCTGACCCTGACCGTTAGGTCGCGCGGGAAAACCTTGTTTACGGTCAGCTCTCACAACTTGTGAGACCCTGACCGTTAGTTTGAGCGGGAAACCCTTGTCAACGATTAGCTCTCCCTGTTTGTGAATATCGAGTGGGTAACTCTACTACACATTTATGCATTATCTGTGATGGTCCGTTTGTCTGTAACATGGGGTCACAATAACTCTTGTAAGAATGATCCAATATAGTGTTAAGTTATGTCACTGTTAGGAACTTGTAATTATCGCCACTATGGATACAAAGGTGTCCGGGCAAGGTGCTGGCCACCCACCTCCTCGTGTGCCATACTGGCCTTCCTAAGTGCTTACTAACAGCAGTTTCCCCAACAGTCTGTTAAGACGATAAGAAATCTGTGTCTTTTTGTGTGTGTGTGCGTAGCTGTGGGAGTGGAAGGGACAGGGGAAGGGCTCGGCCCTTCTCGGCCACTCTGGGCCGGTTCGCTGCTGCTGTTTCTCTCTGGATGACCAGCGTCTTGTGAGCTGCTCTGTTGATTGCACACTCAAGGTACTGCCACTCAGATGGCATCGCACTCCATAAAAATAAAATTCCACATTCGTTATTCAAGCCACTCGTGTAGATATATAATGATAAATAAGGCTCTTTATAAATAATGCTCTTTATTTACCCAAGAAAGCCTCACTGAATATCAAGACTACGTTTTACAGGAGGTTCCTGCATCTGGATGTTTGGCCAGTTCCATTCATAAGTGTTTCGCTCATGGCTGCATCCTGTCAACTCTTGTGCACATGTGTATCTGCGCTGTTTAATACATGTGTGTGTGTGTACATGTGACTGTGTGCGCTGCGACCCAAGTTCGATTCCCACTCACGGCCAACACCAGTGACGATAATTTGAACCGGTCCTGGGCCTCCCCTAGGTCGACTCAACCTTAAATGAGTACCTGTTGAAAATTTCGCCACTCGGGAGACAAAGGTTGCTGGGTGTAGTGCTAGCCACCCACCACCTGGTGTGCCATGCCAGCCTTCGTAAATGCCACTTGCTAACAGCACTTGCTCAAAAAGTTTGTCACGGCTATACATGGGGGGATCTTTGTCTTTCTACGTCTGCGTGTGTCTGTGTCTGCGCACCCGCGCCCTAGGTGTGGAGCGTAAAACTGCGGCAGGAGGAGTGCTCTGTCGATGTGCGCGATTGCGTCGACTCCGAGGATGGGGCAACGAATGGGGGGGAGCGCTCCCTCGCCCTCCGAAGTTGCGCGTGGTCCCCGGACGGAAGCCGGATCGTGGCCGTCGCAGAAAACATCATCTTCGTGAGTGGTCGATTTCCTGAGGCGGCACTCATCTCTCGTTTACAGCTGTAAAAAGTGCTGGAAGTTCCACGTTCTTATGGCAGGGACGAGTCTTTCCATAGGACAATCACTGTTGACTTCCCCAAAAAGTGGTACAAATTTTTTTGAGCCCCGAGGGATGATGGGCCGAGTCGACCCCCGACCAGGATTTGAACTCACGACCTTCTGATTGCGAGCCGTTTCGCTCTACCGCCGAGCCAGCTGGTCAAATGTGTGACGTCATCAGATAAATAAGTAAAACTCTATAAACTGTCTTTTTTATTTTGCCAGGCAAGGCCCACTGAGCTGTGCAGCTCTTTTTCAGAAGCGACCTGGCCACAAATGATAGTGCAACGAAGTGGCTTGTCATGTGGAAATTTATAGCAGCCAAATAATCTAAACCAGGGGTGGGGAATGTCCGGCCCGCGGACCGTATACGACCAAATAATTTGGTCTGGCCCTGCCAAGGCAACCGCAGGCGGAACTCGAAATTCAATAAATCTAAGACCAAACCTGGAAAAGCAGTTGCGAGTAGCAACATCATCAATACCAGCTAACATCACACGCCTTGCCAAAGAGAAGCAGTTCCAGCCATCACATTAGGGGTGAGTTAATTAAATGTTTGACCAAATATAACAGGCTAATTTTTAAGTTGATAATTTTGTATGGCCCGCGAATGATGTTATAAATATCCAAATGGCCCTTGGCAGAAAAAAGGTTCCCCACCCCTGATCTAAACGCATGTTTCTAAATATGAAGGGAAAAGTCCACGTGACCATGGGGACAACACGCAAACTCCAAATATACAGGCGTCGGTAGCGAACCCAAGACCTGCTGCATACCAGGCTCAACCAAGTTAATGTCCATCACCCAATGACTTTATTTTTCATATAGTCTTTTACCCGGCATATGTAATGGACGCGCATGTTGCGATTCGTCCTTGGTCAATGAATTTCCCCAGGTCTCTGTCGCAAATGACGCCTCGTTAATCCCCCTACTCGCGCGCGGCCCTAAACGAGCTCAGCAACACCGCTCTTGCGCCCTGGGCAGCAGGTGGGGCCGGCCCCCCGATGTGGCCGGAATTCACCTGGGGGCGGCGTCGTTGTCTCGCCAGGTGTTCAACGCTCTCACGGTCGCGTGCGAGAACGTGCTCAGGACTCACGCCCACTGCACCATCCTGGCAGTGGCCTTCGCTCCCGACAGCCTGCACTGCGCCGTGGGGCTCTCTTCCTACTCCCTAGAGGTACTGGTGCTGCAACATCTGGAACAGGCGGCGCGGTGGTCGTGAAGTTCCGGTGATTTTCCTGCTCAACCGAACGTCGAGGCGTTGGTGCTTGTCTCGTGTTTACAGCCCTGAGTCAGCGGCATACATTCCACATTCCTATAGCGAGGGCAGGTCTATCCGTAGGACAACCACTGTTGACTTCCCCACAATGTGGTATTCGTTATATCAATCCCTGAGAGAGATGATGCGCCGAGTAGAGCCCCAACCGTTATTTAAACTCGTAAGCTCCGCTTGCGAGCCGCAACTACTGCTGAGCCACCTGGCTGCGTTGATTACTGTTAAGCAGTCACCTGCGGTCACTAGTTTCCGCTCCACACTCAAAACTCACTTATTGTTCCCTAGCTCACCCCACGACCCCTTCATCTCCCCCCATAACCACCACCATTACTTTCCCTCTTCATGTTCTCATGATATGGCTTTCATTCATTCCCTATTCATCCAGTCCATTCATCATCATTTACTGTCATCAATTTAACTTTCACCGAATTCACACATCAGAGATTGGCCATTGCTTCCTCTCATCTATTTCATTCACCCCATCTCCACCATTACAATCATATGTATCATTGTTAATTCTGTTTTTATATATCGCCTTATCTAAGGCGATATATAAGTTATTTTAAGATAAGATAACAGGGGGCGAACATAGAAAACCCACGCAGAAAGGCACCCGAGTCTGTAATCGAACACAGGCCCGTCTTGTTGTGAGGCCCAAGTGCTGCCACCCTGCCGCCCTAATTTGAATTAGAAACGTGAGAACCCTGGACATTTCTACAGCTGTGTGGGGATGGGAGGAGATTCCTGGATGTGTAGGCCAGGGTGCGCTCGAGTTTTGCGTTGCGCGAGCCGTTGGCCAGCACTGGGCAGGTCGATTGCGCAGTGGGCCGACCTCGCTTTGCACCCGCGTTGTTTCTTCTGCATCGTCCTCTCAGATGTGGAACGTCAAGAGCTGCCGCAAGACGGCGGACTACCGGGGTCACGTGGGCTGGGTGCACGGCGTCGCCTTCTCAGCCGACGGCTCGTGGCTGCTGTCTGCCTCGGAGGACCACACAGTCTCCGTGAGTGCCCTCATTCTGAACTTGAAGGAAAGGCTTTTTGTCTTTTACACTGTTGCTAAGCACAGCCCTAAGGGATCAACACGTCAAGCAGCCCAGCAATAAATAGCACAAATAAAGTTGTAAATAGATTAAAGTTATCATGTTCATAGAACTGAGCAAGAGACAATGGTAGGGAATTCCAAAGTAGAGCAGTGGAAGGGAAGAAACAAAGAAGTGAGGTGACCTGCAGTGTAGTGAGTGAGTGGTGGAGTTGGTGATTGTGAGGTGGGAGAGGGTATGGGGAAGTGGGTGGTGTATGGGGAAGGGGGTGAGGTAGGTGGGTGAGTGAGTGCATTGTTGTGACCTGCAGTGTAGTGGTAGAACACGGTATGGGTGAGATAAAACAGTCAGTCTGGTAAACCGAGCCCTCAACATGGGTGAAGGCATCGGTGAAGTTCACGGGAACAGTATCCATGGTAGAAGCGAGAGGAGTGACAAGGATGTGTCTGACTGCCAGTGTTGCGAGTGACTGGAGTGAATCGGTGAGTGCTGGATCATCACTCTACCTGACCACTTCGCTCTGAACTCTGTAGTAGCGTATATAGTATTTATTACTGTAGTAGCGTATATAGTTACTGTAGTAATCGTATATTGCTGTAGTAGCATACGGTGTATTTATTATATGTTCATTTTTATTTATAGTTATCAATATTTTTCCAGTTATATATTTACTTATATTTTTCTGCTTATTGTTCGTTTGTTATTTATTCTGCTGATATAAATTTCCACGTGATGATAAGACACTTTGTTTAGCTATGATTTGTGATAGCCAGGTCGCTTCTCAAAAAGAGATATATCGTAGAGTGGGGCCTTACTTGGTGAAATGAAAGCAGTTTATAATTTTTTGGTTTAGTAAACGTGGGCCCCTTGTGTATGTATGTATGTTGAACTTCTTTTGCACCGTACGTGGCCAGCCGTACTAATCGGAGGTGTGTGTGCCCAGCTGTGGCAGGTGAACGGGGAGGAGAGTGCGGCCGGCGTGTACCTCAAACGCGACACGCACACGCTCTTCCGGGAGGACGGCTCTCTCCATATCGCTGCTCCTGACATCAACAACTGCCTGCGGGTGTGGGAGCGTAGACCGCCTCGATCTGTGCACAGCTCGTTGTTCGTCAGCACGCTTAGCCGGGTTGCCTTTTTTTAGGTTGAGGGGGGAAGGGAAAGTTCGAGTCGATCCAGGCTACCCCCCCACGTTCTATTTACGTACATTTGCATTTCATTTGCTCATGAATTAGTGTTCATTGCACATTGTTTAGGCATACAGTAATCCCTCGCCAACTGCGGGGGTTAGGTTCCTGGAAAATGCTGCGTTAGGCAAATCCGTGGTTTGAAAGTACAAGGAATATGGAAAATAGGTTCGGGAATTACGGCCGTCGTCATACTCATCATAGCTTAACTAAGTTGCCTGTTTATTAACTAAACACCGAGTAAAATACAGTGCATGACACAATAACATAATAAATCATAAATAAACATAAAATTAAGTTTACATACCTATGATATTAACGATGATGGAGGAAAAGCTGATTAGAAGGAGGAGGGGCTCAGCCCACCCTCTTCCTCCAGGCCACAGACGCAACGTGAATGTGGTTGCGATGTGACACGGTCTATGCCCTGCGAGAATTATCGTACGGAATGTACAACAAATAAGACGGACAGCTGTTCAGCTATGGCCCCGCACAATCTGTAACATGACGTTATGCAATAACATGAGGTCATGCTGTAATGCAACGATGTAAAACCCATGTCATGTGGCTTCCTTAACACCGTACTTACCTTTGGATACTCAAATTTAGTCGATGGATGATATATCATACACACACGTGTGTGAAAGGCACAGGGGCAGGCCTGCATTTGATTGCTCATTCAGCTGCTGGTGGAACGGCCTCCACCGGCGTGAATGCTCAAGAGTGTGTTGGTCTACTGTACCACGTTGACCAGATGTTATAAGAGGTCGGCCTTACCCACACTTTACCCTACCACCCACGAACTGCTGATTGATTAACTGTGGTGTAGCCATGCTTACCGCTTGGTAGACAGAGGCGGGGAGGAGGGAAGAGAGAAACTTGCATTGTTGTGTGTGTGTGTGTGGGCGGGTGTAGGTGGTTGACGAGACGGGGCAGGTGGTGAGCGTGAGCGACCCACTGCCATCGCGTGTTCGCTGCTGCTGCCTGAGCGGGGATGGAAGCATTGCGGCGATGGGCTGTGAGAGCGGAATCATGCAGGTTTACACGCACGCAGACTTCATTGCACAGCACGGTGTAGTGGTTAGGGTGGTGCGCTACGAACCCGGGGACCCAAGTTAAATTCTCGCTCACTGTCAACATAAGAGACGAATATCTGAACCGGTCCTGGGCCTCCCCTAGGCTGACTTAGCCTCAAATTAGTACCTGGTGCGGTGTGTAAACATCTCCAATAGCGAGACAAAGGTGGCCGGGCATGGTGTTGGCCACGCACCTCGTATGCCGTGCCGGCCTTCATCGGTGCTCGCTAACAGCATTTGCCCCAACAGTCTGTTTAGGCTATATAGGGGGGATCTTTGTCTTTGGAAAGTGGTGGAAAGGTGCATGGAGCAGTGGTGTAGCTAGTGCGCTGCGCTACAACATTACAAAAAAATCACATAAAATTTAAGTACGAAAATAAGCGCGATAAAAAACATCCGAATGGATGTTAACCAAATTATTTGGTGATTTTGCATTGGCAGTGGTTCACTAGCATAAATATCACAATTATCAACTCATTCGTCAATAACACTGTAGCCTTTAAATTAAAAAGTGTAATCGGCGACGTTTTGGAAAATTTCACGTCACAGTAACACGAATGAAATTTGGCATTCCTCCAGTAAAAATTTATATTCTGATGCTGAATATATTCTGATTCCGACATGACGGGCACATATCTCAACCTGTTCGAGGCCGTCCTTAGGTTGACTCAGTCTATCTGGTGCAGCAGTCGACACCAGCAGTGACCACAACAACCCCCTCTGTGTACCGTGTTGGTTTTCAAGGTGCTTGCTTAACAGCACTTGTCCCAACAGTCTGTAATGGTTATACAATTAACCTTTGTATTTTTCTGTAATTCCAGCAAACCCGGATTTGATATCTCGCCATGCATGTTCATCAAAAGATATGATTGAACCTGCCCTTACCTGTCCTTAAGTCGATTCAGCCTTACATGAGCATTTGGTGCAATGCATGACTGTCAACAATGGAAAGACAGAGGTAGCCAGGAGTGGTTCAGGCCACACCACTTCCCCCACCCCCCCGTGCACCGTGCTGGCCCCCATACGTTTCTCATAGCGTTGGTCACCTAAGTCACTCTTGCAAATGAGACTATTCCTTGTCTCTAAAGAGTTTTCATCTAGTTAAATATAATAAACTTAACTTGCCCCATAGTTTGAGGGATCTGTTGTGTGTGTGCACTAGATTGTGGACACAGAGAGTGGCAACATCCTGCACGTTTTGGAGGGGCATACAAAGTGCGTGAGACAATGCCAGTTCCTGATGGACGGACACGTTCTCCTCTCCTGTTCCGATGATGCAACTCTGAGGGTGCGTGATTTCACATGCACTCAACTTCCCATGCACTCAACTTCCCACGTGCATACACACCCGTGCGTCACAGCAAGAAGCCCCTAAATTTGATTCCTGATTCGGACGCCTATCTGTGTGCACAGTTTGTATGCTCTCACCACGTTCTGTATGAGATTACACCACCATGTTCTGTATGTGATATCCCCCGTTTCCTCCCACAAATTATTGTTTAAAATAAAGTAACCATTATTGGGCAAACATTCTGATGCTGAAAAGTTACCTGCAAATTTACTGAATTCGGATGACAGCAACCTCACCCCCCACTGGGCATCACCCAAACTTTTGTGACACAAGGGGACACGTTTTTCACATTGAGGAGAACGCCTCTCTTCTGTGACGATGATGTGGAAGATAGACCGCATATAAGAGGATTCACAGACACTAGATGTTTCCGCTCTTAATTCATAGCAATGCATGAGCTGCTTGACAGTGGTAAATAATTAAACAGCGTCATGGGGTCTCTCATCTCCATGGGACATGTTAAGAGTGAGCAGGGGGCTTTGTGTGAAATAAGCCATAGCCCAGCGATAGCGTGTTCACTGCTTGTTACAGAGGCTCGTGGATCGTATCCGGCAGGCCATCCTGGTTAATGCTGCGGATGTATGTCAAAAATCCCCTTACGTCGTTCCAAACGAGTAGGCAATTGTGTGTGCGATGTGTTCCTAGTTTTCCGAATTCGCAAAAAATTTCTGGCAAATGACTCACGAATTGGGATTACAAACATAGCAATCATTGCCCCCTACTGGTGAACTATTGCCCACTGCTTGCAGGCCGGTGCTTAGTCACCTATGTATGTACTTTATGTTGAACTACTTTCGCACAGTACGTAGCCAACCGTGCTAATCGGAGGTGCAATTGTCTCATAGGGACATCTGCAATGAGATAGGGGCTTTACTTTTAATTGACTTTGGAAGGGAATTAGATTCTCTCTGAAGACCTTGACTCTTAATGATGGAGTCGCAGTCAAAGGTGGGGACGTGCCACGAGGATTTTAAGGTTCTTCGAGTCGTCGGGGCATTTAAGCAATGCCACATAAATGCAAAGAATATTGTTACGAGAGTGTCAACTTACTTGCAAGTGAAATTGTAATTATCTGCTCTTATAAATGGAGGTTGAATTAATTGTCTTCCATTGTGCTCAGATGTGGAGGTGGAGGGAAGGGGGGGGGCAGTGCTCCCTGCTTGACGAGCACACAGAGGAAGTGAAGTGCTTCTGCCTTCTGTCCCAGAGCCTCCTGCTCTCCTGCTCATTTGACGGAACCACCAAGGTAAGGCCTCACTGCGGTAACCGCACACACTCGCAAAATGTATTCAAGTACAGCCTTTTTTTATTATTGAGGCAATGTGCCGGACCGTTATGTGTACACACCATTAACATAATCCAAACCGGTTACGAAAATCAAGAGGATAAAAAGATGCGGAACGGGCTCGCTGCATCAGACCATACGGGGGAAGGGGGGGGGGTCTCACCGAAGGGGGAAAGGGTGACTTTTTTTTAGTAAAGGGGAAGGGATGATGAATGGAGAGAGGGGTTTAACTGAAACACAGCTGACATAAAGAGCAGCAAAACATAAGGGACGACGAGACGAGTATTTTTTCTTTCTACCCCCCCGAGTCCGGCTCCCGTCTAATCTGCCGTTGTTATGCCCCTTATCCTTGTTCCCTGTCTCCCAACCCTCTATTCTGAAAACTTATTTCAGGTGTTGTATGAGGGGTCAAGTACAGGCTTTTATTGTTTACTCAGGAAAGCCATGCGGAGTCTCAACCCTTTTCAGGAGGGTCCAGACAGGTTTTCACATTAGAGATTGACTTTGTCGCTGTGTGTAATCAAATGTAGTAATTTGCGGGTAGTATTTCAGCATTGGAATGTCACCAGTTGAATTTCATGTAACCTTTATTTTCCTTTCGTCAAGCAACCTTAAAACCTTTTGATTAAACATTTATTTTTGGGTTAGGTTTTGAATTTTATTCTGACTTCTTGGATCTTGTCTGAAAAAAGTTTGGCTCCAGTTTCAAGCGAAACTTTATACAAAGTGATAAATTTGTTTGTGAATATTGTTCTTCAACTTATCCAAACACTGTAACAATAATTGTAATCGGCATGTCAAACGCATGTCTGGCAATTGATTTGTTTGGCTGTTAGTGGTGGAGGGTCTTACCACACATATTTGGCCAAATCTATGAATTAGAAATATTGATCTTGGCTGCATTAATCCCCGTGTTGCATGTATATGTTGAACTTCTTTTGCACCATACATAGCCAACCATGATAATCGTAGGTGCAGGGGGAAGGAGAACAAACTAAACACCAAAAGTAGTTAAAAAGAAATGAGTTCAATCGAGACTGGTTATTGTGGTGTATGTTAGCTAAAGCCAATACTTCCCATCCTATTAATTTATTCGCGTTCCGTACAGACGTTTAAATATTATCCTTTCACAAATGTGGGTTTTCTCTGGCCACTTTAATTCCCAAGCAAAATACTGCTTAAACGAGAATTGGTCAAACATATCACTCCAAGATCCTGCTGAGTCTTGAGACTTGTAAAGGCTTTCCTCGATTAATAAATTATGGTAGAATTATTGATTTCCTATCTATGATCAGCTGCTTCTCACCACATAATTGTCAGTGTCTTGACTTTCGACGTTCATGATTTTCTCTCTTCATCCGTCCACTCTGCTGCTCTTACCACGTTACTATAACAAGTTGATATGACCACATCTTAAATTCCTATTCTTCTCTTATCCACACGTATATTCAGTGAAAAAAAGTATCAGTCCCTACCCCATCTCAGGCCCTCATTAATTTCAATCTATCTCTGAAATTCCTCCTTTACTTGTCAATCAATACACCAGGGCATGCTATTATAATTGGGCGCCATGGTGGCGAGATGTTATCTCCCTCGCCTGATATGCAGGAGGTTGTGAGATTGGTCCCGACCCTAACGCCTGTATATTTAGAGTTTGCATGTTCTCTCCATGGCTGCGTGGATTTTTCTCTCACATTAGATAGATTTATTGCTTAAAATTGTTTTTTTATTTGACAGATATTGTGTAAATCTCTGCACCTATGTCTGTGCTTATGACCTAAATGGTGTGGGAAGTACGTTATACAGAAGTGGATCACCTGCTGTATATTTGGAGTTTGCATGTCTCTCTCTCCCTGGTCGTGTGATCCTCCGGTTTTTCCCTCCACATTTAGAATCCACATGTATTTTGAGTATTTGGCTGCTTATATATATTTACACGTGATGATAAACCACTTCATTGAGATATCATTTGTGATGGCCAGATCGCTTCTGAAAAAGAACTACATAGCTCAGTGGAGCCTTACCTGGTAAAATAAACGTTTTTTTACCCAATATCAATTATTCTAGATTTGAAGTTTTCGTGACTGCAAGTATTCATATTCTTAGGTTTTTTCGGTAAAGTCACGTATTTAAGAGCTTGTCTCTTAGATTTTTCCTCACTTGATACAGTAAATTTAGCTGTGACGGTCCCACCTGATGACGGAGACTTGTGTTGCCTCCGAAACGTCGTGATTTATTATTTTACTTCTATTATTTTTTTTTATAATTTTTATTCTTTATTTTTTTTTATCTACGTGACATTACCAAAAAACCTTAGAGTACAATATCAATGATCACAACAGAGGGCACATACAGACAAGGGTAACAATCATGACAGGGGGAGGGGTGTGCCATCTGGGTATGTTTCTTCCTTGAGCAGGAACTGCTTGAGGTGTACCAGGTAAAAAAAATATATATATATATATCTAGGCAGACGATGGGGCCGAGGGAGCGAGCTTTTTATCGGCGGATGAAATTTCGTCAAGCTATTTCAACAGATGCAAATGCAGATTTAACTACACATATTTGGAGCATTCCTGGCAGCGATTTCAGCCGCACCACTTCTACATAACAATAGGCTCAGTCAACCATTCTACACAACAAAGACTCATTTTCTGGCAGCGATTTAAGCCGCATCATCTCTACATAACAAAAAGGCTCAGTCCCTTTTACATGCACCTTTACATCATCCGCACCTAGTTTACACAACAAAGGCTCATTCCTAACAGCGTGCTTCAGCCGCACCGAACCTCACAAAAATAATATTCAGGGCCTACCTTGGCTCCTCCCACCCTCAACCAGTATATATACAAATACGGTTTTCTTGGAATTTTCTCTCACTTGATACAGCTATCATGCTGTGACTGTTCCACCTGAAGACGGAAGCTTGTGTTGCCTCCGAAACGTTGTGATTTTTATTTTATTTTTATTTTACTTTTATTAATTTAAATTTTTACCTACGTGACTTTACCGAAAAAACCTAAAAATATAAGATGCATATGCACTCAAGAAGGTCTATATAGTTTAGCGATAGGCTCCATTCAACGTGAAAAAAAACATTGCGGGGATTGCCCTCACGGGTGTCCTGGGAATTCATTTTTCCATCACCGCATTCCCTCTGCCAGAGAAAACGGCAACTGTTGAGAACCTACCCATGAGAGAGGCGCACCTTAGAAAGGGGATATGGATGGGATGTTTAAAAAAAAAAGTGTACTTCGTTAGACACTGACCCCGCCCCCCCCCTCATGGGCAGCATGGCCAGCCGACTCGTCTGACGTAGGTAACAAACTACAATGAGGGTTCGTGATCTATTCAGTTGCCTAGTTATAGCTTTTCTCGCTACGACGTTGACAATTTTGGAGTAGAGTGTGCTGTGGAGGGGATTTTACCGAGGGCCATGTATATTTTTTGTTCAAATAGTTAAGTGTCTTGATACGATCTAGTGATATCCAGGCACAGACAAATGGCATGCAGGTATGTCTATATAGTTCCCCGCAGGCATTTAGGGCAGTCTGGGGATGAATTTTTGAACTTTGCCCTCCTCTCATTGGTGAGGTAAGTTCTATGTAAATAAAAAAAAAGTTGAAATAGTTTAATGTGCTGTCTGTATTATGCTGTGTTTGCCACTATCCTGTTATTGTGCCACTTTACTTGCAGTTGTGGGACCTGAACGAGCTGTCATTAGTGCGGACATTTTGTGGCCAGGAGCCACACGCCGCCATCTTGTCGTGCCAGGTGATGCCCAGCCTAGGCCTCTTTGTCGTCACCTGCACCGATAAGACAGCAAAGGTGAGCACAGACAACTTACTTCACCTTCGTGCTGTTATACTATTCGTGTTAACTTCACTCGTTGGTATCTCTACCCGTGTTGAGGACTCAGTCAACCAGACACTCACTGTGTAGTCTCATGTTGCTCACATGAGCATTCAGGGCAGTGCCTCATATCAACTTTACAGCTCTAAGCCAGTGGTGGAAATTCCACATTACTATGGTGGGCTGAGTCGATCCTTATGACAGCCACTGTTGATTTCCCCAGAAAGTGGTTTTCAGTTTATCGAACCCAGAGGGATGATGGGCTGAGTCAGTCTCAACCTAGGATTTGATCTCATGACCTTCTGATTCTATTATTTTTCGGCTGACTTTAATCCTGAAATTTGGACAAACTAAAACATCCTCATTGCCAGATTAATACTTGTATTTGGCAGTTCTAGGACTTAAAGTAAACATTTCAATTATAATTGCCGCTTTTATATTTTTATATTTGGGTCACACTAACATTTTGTTCAGGTTTCGGGAAGAGATTCAAAGTTAAGTCAACATGCTCCAGACAAAGTTTATCGGTGTGTTTGTGTCGCCCGTGGACATGTTGAATGGAATTGAGGACGTGGTGATGGTGGAGCGTCGGTCACATGTCTGCATCATGAGAGCACGGTCACATGTCTGCATCATGAGAGCATGGGTCACGGTGAACAGTGATTTGTTTCCACCGCACCGTACGCAGGTGTGGCAGCTGGACGGTGGTGCGATGCCGCTGCATGTGCTAAAGGGACACACGGACTGCGTTCGCAGCTGCGGTTTCTCCCCCGACGGGAAGATCCTCGCCACCGGGGACGATGAAGGTTTTGTGATGGTAATGCAGCAGGAATCCAATAATCCACGCTAATGTGCAGGGAGGGGACCATGTCACAGATCCTGTAATCCACGGCACGCAACACGGAGGTTACAACTATAATCCGTAAAAAACTAAAATTTGGGCCGACGCAGTGTGCCACGGATTATAGGAGCAAAGAGCTGTGTTATTTTGTTCATTTACAAAAAAAATCACAGGTAACAGGGGAAGCACAGCATGTGAATAGCGGCTATACTAATCCGATCTAAATTTGCGGATTAAAAGTAGGTAATATTTTCTGTGTAAAATAATGTCTTGAATTTTTTTAGACATGATGAAGTCTAAAAAATGCTGAAAGTATGACTTGTTTCCAGCGCACGTACCCAGGTGGGGCAGGTGCATAAAGTATACAAAATGCAAAACATCTTCAACTCAACAAATCACATGAGCACAGCCAGTCTGTGTTGAGGCAAAATAAAAAAAATCTTATATCTGCGCTTTCTCTGCAGCTTCACTCTGTAGCTCTGCTTTAGCACCGCTAACTTTTACGGATGCTGGTTTGCGCCTTCGCAAGGCGTTTTCAATCTGTTGCGGTGTGCCACAGATTATGGGAGCAGGCACCATCCGTAAATAATCCACAATTGAAAGGCATTACATGTTATTGGAGTTGGAAATGATTAAATTCTGCTACAGTGGTGATTTGCATCTCATAGATTTCCCTTTATGCAGGGGCATCTGAGACTGCTTTGCAGTCCATAAGCAGCTTCACATCTCATCGCAAGCATTTGAAATGGCACCCCCTTTGCCCTGTGTGGCACAAGATGAATCAGCACCTGGCCTGCAATCTGAAGGCTTCCAGTATCGGGCGATGTTTGACGCTACGTGTTACGGAGCGGAATAATTTGCAGCTCGGGGTGTGTGAGAGTCCGATGGGTTGAGGAGGGTGTGTTGCATTTACCGGATTATGAAAATTGGAAGAAAAAAAATGCGTAATTCGCATAAATTATGCCAATGTGTATAATTATATGCATAAATTACGATAATCACGGAGATAATCATATTAATTTATGCGAATGCTTGCAATTATGTTAATGTGTGCAGTTATGATAATTAGACTTGGCTTCGTTATCCAGAGTTGTATCAATCAGGATAAAACGATTATCTTTGATTAAACATGTATTGATTATCCTAGTGTGTTTGTATTATTATGTTAGGTCTCCAAATTAATATCTCAACGCAGGATACAGTTCTTATAAATAAGACAGTTTTGCATGGACTTGGAAAGAAACACTCAACGCTTTTGTTAAGCAATTTTAATTCTAAACAAAAACATATGACACTCTAATATGCAAAGGCGAAAGCATACATCAATAGATTCATGAGCAAGATTATGCAATTAACGAAAATGAATGACTAAACACTTCTTATTCATGTAACTCGACGGCAGCAACTGCTTTGCATGATCAGTTGATATTGAACACACCACCTTGAAATGGCAACCCTTTTTGAAACACAAAGATAACTTTTTGAAAGTCTTATTTGTGTGGGTGTTGTGTGTGCGTTGTCCCCTTGTAAATTTTTTTTTTAGAGCCGGGAGTTGTGTCGTTAGCTTGCGGGCGGTGGGGGAGGGGTTATACCACCAGCGACCAGAGAGGTTCTCTCTCACTTGGGCGTGGCCGCAGCGAGCCCGTCTTTCTACCTCACTCGGGTGTGTCTCTGCTCGTGCACTCTCTCCACTGCTAGATAAGTGGCGTCGGCACGACGCTCGCCATCGTGGCGCGCGATGATTCCGTCGTCGGATAGCGCGCAGTTCCTCCGCTGCGGGATGACGAGTCGGCACGACGCTCGGTGACGCCCGAGTGGTGCTGCTTGTGCGCTCTCTCTCCACTGCTAGATTGAGCGGCGTTGGCATGATGTTCCTTGAAGAAACTTGGTTGCTTGGCGCTTGATGGCGCCAGGGGCTTGGTGCTGCTCATGCACTCTCTCTCTCTCTCTGCTGCTAGATTGAGCGGCGTCGGCACGATGCTCGCCATCGTGGTGCTGCGCTGTTTCCGTTGTTGGATAGCGCGCAGCTCCTCCACCACTGGATGACGAGTCGGCACGACGCTCGCCGTCGTGGTGCGATGATTCCGTCGTCCACTGCTGGACGTCTTGTCTGTTCTCAGCGGGTGCTGATCGATATGTGTGTGTATTAAACACACGGCGCATTCGATGGCGCTCTCCTCTTCCTCATTTTCTCCCTGCTTTCTCCTTGATCGCTGCCAGCTTCACACGGACACCCGCCCTTACTTCAGGGCTGCGTTGGCTCAGGCTCTGGACGACGCGGCTGTGTGCGCTCACCGGCTTGGAGCACTCTGGCGATGAACGATGTTCTCGTTCGTTGCTGGGTGGACGTTGGGTTGACGTTGAGTTGACTTTGCTATTGCTCGAGAATGATAACTGGAATCTCCGTCAGTTTCACTCGCACTTAACCACACCTCGCCACTTCGTTCTGCGAGAAGCGACACCGGCCATCGGTATCGGTGTTTGCTCCCTCACGACGGCACCGCCACCGGAGCACGGCTGAAACCCAGCCTCGACCCAGGCTGAACTCAGACTTCTGCGACTCTAACGACGCTCTTCTTTTCCATCTCTCCTCGAGGCACGATACGCCCAACTCAGCCTCCCTAGCAACGCTGCGTCGCAAGCCAAGTCACGAGACTGAGCGCGACTCGAACCAGACTGCTCTGCGTGATGTGCGTTGTGCTTAAAACCCAAAAACGTGAAGAAAAAAATAGACGCTAGGAGTGTCAGGCACAGACCCCCCCCTTCGCGACCCTTTGACCCCCTCCTTGCGCATCTCTTGCGAGAGAAACAACAAAACCGAAAAAAACAGCCACCCTCCCGACCCCTCCTCGCCACCGCCCTGACCCCCCACTCCCTCTGAGTGGGTCATCCCGAGGCCAGACTCCTCCTCGGATTTATTGCGCATGTGTGTTTGTGCCAAACCGTTGGAAGACAAAGGTGGCCGAGGAGATTTTGACGTTTGTTGTCTATCTGTATACAGGGATTGCACTGTTTTACTCAAGTTATATTTTAATGTCCTGAGGTTAAGTGTAACTAAGTTTCCACTTAAGCTTTCTTGACTGCTGGAATTCGTATTCTTTAGTTTTTGGTAAGGTCATGTAAATAGAAACATACAATACAAAATAATATATATGCGGTGAGTACGAGTAAAATAAGGGAATTACTAATACAAAGCACCTATTGTAGGCTGCAGTCTTATACCGTTGGTTGATTCTTTTTGTTAAGTTTCTACTTGTCGTTAAGGAAAACGTTAAAGAAAACGCGAGTTGCAACAGTTGTTTTTCTCTGCTCTACACGTTATCCGTGCATCTCCAGACGTCTTGGGAAGGTTAGGCCATCGACCTTTCGGCCATCTGGATATCTCTGACCTCTCTGTGCTCCGAAGTCTTGCCGTTTAATGGCCTTCCACGTTTTTTTTTTGTGTGGCATGCGAGGGTTAGCGGGTTGTTTTCATTATTTAATTTAAAAAATATATATTTTTTGGCCTAATTATTCTTAATATAAATTTTTGGAAAAAGGGGCATAGATGCAACAGGTGGACACATGACCAAGAGCCTTTTATCTCATGTTTATTAAAAAAACAAGCATGAAAAACAGGACAATTAGATAGCACAGCAACACTCCGGTTTTGCACACACAGAAGCGCAGTGACAGAGCTTGGACGTTTCAATTCTTGGAGCACTGTCTCTGTAACTAGACTGCCGTTGCTATAACAGCCTGGTTTGCAGGAGTGGAATAGGTCTTTGGGAATCCAAAAGATGAGCAGGGAGCCCGACGGCTCTCTCCATGTCAACAGGGGAAGCGTGCTTAAAATCCTCTTGCATAGCCTGACGACCCCTGACGATGCTCTCAGCGGAGTCACCACCTTATCCATCTCCTCTTCAGCCACTCATTGACTTCAGCTCCAAATAACGTGGCCGTGACAATGAACGCACCATTGTACAGAGCCCCATAACACCCACCAATATCCCTCTTCGACAATTATATTACGCCTACTTTCTCTAATTATGTCCTCGTAATATATTTTGGGAATCACGTTCAGATATAAACAACATCGTAACACATGAACATTACTTCTCCACATTAACAGTATTAACCCAAAATAAACATTTATTGGTGTAATACCTTCAACCATAGTCAACATTTCATTGGTTTATACACTTGTATAACACAATCTATACCTATACAGTAAATATACAGTACGATTTTCTGTATTGGTGTTCACTTTAACATAATTTTAAACCAGCTTCCCCCATGTATCTGCATTCTCTAAACAGTCATTTTCTTACTGTATTAAATTAAACTACTGTACACCTGTCCTTAGCCCAAAATATCCAAATGATTCGTCCTTGAGCAAAGACCTCATGCCGATATTGCACATGGCTCTCACAGTCTTGAACTTTCCTCTCCTAGTGACCAGCTGTGGATTATGGGCTGTACCATTTCCGTGTGATTCATAAGGGCTGTTTGGTGGGTTAAACCAATCCCTTGGTCAACATGAGGGGTGTTTTATGGGTAAACCATTCCCCTGTTATACACTCACATTAACATATTTACAATAACTTCCAATAAATCCCATTTCGCCATGCTTTGTATTCCCGATTAAGTTATGTGCAGGTACATTTTCAAATTTGGCTAATTTGGACCACGACGTCGGCACGTGATGGCCTTCCAGTTTCTATGTGACATCACCGGATTTTTAACATCCACCCTGAAGCAGACCTTGTTATGGTTAATACAGTTAATACAGCAGCACTATTAATCAGGGCGGTATGCTGGATTCAAACCGCGAACCTCTACAATAAGTGGTGAATGCGTTTGCTGCTGGGACACGATGGTGGTGACGATAGTGATGGGCACTGGGGACGATGGAGGCTTTGTGATGTTAATGAAAAGAAAAAGTCGAAAATTTTTTCCAAAATTATCCATGACCGAACATTGGTTAACGTGTGCATTGGGCCTAGTAATGTGATGCACGTTTATGGGGGTTCCCTGTAACTGATTTCATCATCCATGATGATGGCAGGGCATGTGTTGGTGTGAGCGATGACAGGAATCACTGGGTTATGAACAAGACGCCTTCTTGATGTGACCATTCCTACAGCATGTGGACTCTACCTGACATAGAGCACTTAGGGCAGTATTTTAATTTGAAAAGTAGCAACTTGTGTTGAGTTCATCTTCTTGGTTCTTTCGTCAAAGTCACGTAGAAGGGAAGTAATAAAATAATAAAAATAAAACATAATAAAATAATTCTCACGACGTTTCGGCCACAACGCAAGCAGCCGTCCTCAGGTGAAGAATGAAATACCACCAAGCTTGGAGTGTATATTTAAGCTGGGTTGGAGGGGGGGAGGTGGGAAGAAGAGCGCCTAGACAAAATAATTTGCATATCAAGAGGAATTTAGCATATGGAAAATGCGTAGGAGGTGGGCGGGGGGGGGTTTCAAATTAATATTATGCCCGTGCATTATGCAGGATTAGCAGCATCAAATGGAGGGGGAAGGGGGGTAGCATTAACAAAGGAAAGGAATGTTAATAGTATGTAGCTGCAGTTGCTAAACAACCACGTAAAAAAACAAAGTATAAACTACATAAACAACTAAAGTATAAACTACATAGCATCATCAGTATACTTACTATACTCTACAATAAGCTGAGTTACTGACAGTAATACATTACAATTCTACGTCGTAAAAATTATATAATATGCTTCCATCTAAACTTTGTTCTCTTACATCACACGAGTCTACACCGTACTATATACTGCCATAGACAAACCCAACATTAAATGATATACTGTATTGCTATAAACCACCCTATACCTTATACATTTTAATATAACACTATGTATTATTCTACCCACCCTAATGTGTATCACACTGCTATATGTTTACTATACAATTACGATACTATATAATACTTTGTACATTGTATTAAGCATATAAATGTTATACTATTTGTTATTATACACTGTATCATTGACCGTCGTGTCAATGGGTGAGTCGTGGGGGGAAACTTGCAGCGGAGCAAAGAATCCATTCCTTGCGGAGAATACAATGCCAGTGAGTGGAACGCGGTCTGAAAGTCACCGTAAACGTGAACACAATCAGTTAAGATCCGAAATGGTTTATTACGCCCTTCCAATGATTGCTAAGCCAGAATCCATCTTCTCAGTTGAAATTGTCTCTGTGTTTGTATATGTGGTGTTTCATTCTTCACCTGAGGACGGCTGCTTGCGTTGTGGCCGAAACGTCGTGAGAATTATTTTATTATGTTTTATTTTTATTATTTTATTACTTCCCTTCTACGTGACTTTGCCGAAAAAACCAAGAAGATGAATCCCTGCAGTCACGAAAGCTTTAAATCGAAATTGTGTTGAGTTGTTTGCCAACATCTATGGAAGTATCTTTCAGCTTGTATGGCAAAAGTATATATATCTCCACATATCTGTCATATAACAAAAATAAGTGTTTTTTTACGCATCCCAGGAGCCACATGACTTTCTGGAAATACGTTGCTTCAGCAGCATTGGTTCAACACAATCAAACTGACCGGTTGTCACAATGTCCCGTATGATGTGATCAACCTGTTTTTTTGTTCAAGTTCAAACTGATTCTGTTTTAACCAGTTGAGAACCCAAGAAACAAGGATTAGTCCCGTTTGCAAGACTGGCCTAGATCACCCTTATCAAGTTCTGGTGCGGTGTGCTTGAAACTGCGTTTTTATGTGGGTGTGCTGTGATATGTCGTGGGAAACGGTAGTGTAGCGGTTAGCGCGTTGTGCTACGAACCTAGCGACCTGAGTTTGATTCCCACTCAAGGCCAACACCAGTGACGATTATCTGAACCGGTCCTGGGCCTCCCCTAGGTCGACTCAGCCTCAAATGAGTACCTGATGTGGTGTGTAAACATCGCCACTGAAGGGACAAAGGCAGCCGGGACGTGGTGTTGGCCATCCCACCCCCTCGTGTGCCGTGCCGGCCTTCATCGGTGCTTGCTAACAGCACTTGCCCCAACAGTCTGTTCATGCTATACGGTGGATCTTTGTCTTTGCTGTGATATGAACCTTATGGCGGTACCCCGGAGTACCATAGTACCTCGGCTCTCGCATAATGTCCGTGATGCAGTCATTTTAAATCTGGTGATGGTCAGCAATGCAGCAATCGACTCATCTCGACGAGCTGTACACGATGCACTATTCAAAGTTGAATTTTTCAATAACGGATTTTTTATGCTAAAAATCCGTTATCAACATCGCGGAGTAGCACTGATTTCGGATTGATTGGTACCCCAGTCGCGGAGTTAAGTACACCCCTGTAAAAAATAGTGTCTGAGAAATAAAATATTTAATTGCCTTTTTGTATTATTTGGTACCCCGGGGTACCGCCATAAGGATCATACGTGGAACCTTACGGTGTGTGGGAGTGTGGTATATACGTTACGGTGTGGGTAGGCATTGCGTTGTGTGGTTGGTGTGGATGTGGTGTGGAATGTGAATAGTTGCGGTGTAGTATGTCAAACATTTAGGTGTGGTGTGGGTAATATGATATGGAGTACATGTGGTATGTGAAACGGTGTGTGGGTATGCTCTGTGCTGCAGTTGTGGAGTGTGGAGAGTGGCCAGAAGTGGAGCTGCCAGCCCACGGCTCGCCATCACGCCTGGGTGACTCAGGTGTCCTTTGTGCGAGAGGGGCGGATATTACTCTCGGCAGCTGACAACATCAAAGTGAGCTATTCCTGATGTGCAACCCCTTCAGTGTGTAGCACTCTGTGCCTTCATCACTGTGTAACACTGTGTGGGCATTTGTGTCTATTTGTGTCTGTGTACACGTGTTTTTGTATATATTTTGTGCGTGTTTGTGTGTGTCTTTGTGTGTGTCTTTGTGTCTGTGTGCACGTGTCTGTGTCTATCTGCGTGTCTGCTAGTTTTGGGATGTGGAGAGTGGACGTGTGCTACAGACGTTCTACCCTCGAGGGAGTCTCCTGAAGCGCGTGCACACCTCTCCAGATGGAAATCGGTTGGTCACCGTGGACTCCATTGGGCTGCTTTACATGCTGTCCCTGCTGCCCTGAGCCGGACAGTGTCGACAGGACCCGTCCCACCAGCCAAGACGAATAATCACGTGCAAAAGGAACTTCTGCGACTTCACTATGCAAATTTCAAGCAAGCCAAAGTGCCTGGCTCCTAAAATTAGCGAGGGTTTGAGTCCACGTTGCTGTCTCACGAAGTGTGCTTTTGTTACTGTAAACTGAAGACCTCTTCAAAGTTATTTCCTGCTTAAATGAGCATTGAAGCAATGCTCATCTCCTGTTTACAGCCCTGAGCCAGTGTAAATGATACATTCCTATATCAGGGGTGGGTCTATCAATAGGATAACCACTGTTGACGAATGCACAAAGTGGTGCGTATTTTTATTGACTTTGGAGGGATAATGGGCTGGAGTCGAATCCCAAGCCAGGATTTGAACTGGCAGCCTTATAATTGCGAACTTCTTGCTCTACCACTGAGCTACCTGGCTGGCCAATTATCTCTTGCCATATTTGCATTCCAATGTTTTGTACGTGTTTTAAGTTTTACCAAAAGTGTAATTTTTGTATCTGCAGTGGCTCAAATTTTTGCAATTATCGGATTGTTTTACACTTTGTTTGTAGTGAATGTTATTGTGAGCCCAATGCTAGTGTACTGATAGATAAGCAGTAAGCAGCAGACAGCGGTGATGGAGATGAGAGGAGGAAAACAGTGCAGGAGGAAAATGTTGCAAAGCAGATTAGTAGGAGCTACCGGGGCTGACAGTTCACTGGGATATGAAGGGATACAGACAATTCTAGAAGGCTGGTGAGGTAGATAAAATGGAACTGAGGGGTTAGAGTGGGAGTTGGGTTGGAGTGACGGACCGGACCGGAGTTGCAAAGCAGCTGAGACGCAGGACAGGTCGAGCTTTATGAAACACTTTGAGAGTATAGAGGGATGGTGCTGTTTGGTTGGCGACGAGGGGAATTCGCTGACCATAGAAACTGAGTCAGAGAAGAAAATGTCACGAGTTGGTTATGGGATATGCACAGTAGTGGGTGACTGGTACCATTCTGGATAAGATACACAAAAGGGTTTTAAGACCAAACTGAGAATTATTATATAAGGTAGCTGGGAGAGCACGCAATGTTTTAACACTGTACCCACACTTAAGAGAGCACACCTACCCAATGTAAAGATAAGTCCGCATACTCTGTGTAAAAAACCGAAGCAGACTTAACACTGAGAGAACACACTCTTTGCAAAGTATACTTGTACACATGAGGCGAATACACACATATGATATAGGTATTGTTAGGTACGGGGAAATTAAATTCACTGTGAGAATTTGTAGTGAGGCAGAGTACTTTATTCTTGTACTGGTGACAGATTGGACACCGAAGAAGTTGGCAGTTTTCAGTACAGTATTTGCTTCAAAGCGATATACGGAAAAACGCTTCTATCAACAACGTCCCATGAAATCTAAATTTGTATTTGTTAGCACCAAGAGTCAAGTTTGTGTCTCTCCGTGTAGACAACACCTTGAACCCTTGCTTGATCTCATGTTTGACAACCACGCGATCACGAAAAATGCCTTGGTAGTTGTGACGCAATCATCAGGTTGTTCCACGTCGCTACAGACCAGACAATTGTCACCACCGCAGAACTGACTGATGAAAATAAACACTTTAACTAAATATATCCTCTCTGTGGATATTTACATTGATGTTGGCTATTAACACTGAGGTAAATAACCACGTCCCTTTCCAATAGAACAATAACTTGACATCTGTGTCTAAGCATCTCCTATCTTATTACAGTATAAGTTACAACAAAACAGCATAATTTATGCTTTCTGCCCTGTTCAAATGTGAGGTCTCAGCTGTGATGTCTCCTTCTCTGGCATTGCCGTATTTTACTATCTGAACTGCGGTTTATGTATTATGCTGACCTTTCGCACCATATGTAGCCAACCGTGCTAATAGGTGTGGGGACATGGATGAGGTAATTAGATCAACCTCTCCCCCCACCATTGTGGCCCCCTTTCATGATGCCAGCCTGTGTGCGAGACATGGGGCGGATGCTCTGCGGCAACGTCAATTTTGATTTCACGACTTGGTGCAATGACTCGCGATTCGCGTGTATCACGCAAACCGAGATGCTCGCGGTTGGTAAACAGGTGTACAGAAGTAAATTCGCGTGCACTCAAATCTCGCGGTTGGTAAATTCGCGGTTGGCAAGGGATTACTGTATCTCCTTTGTGTCTTACCGTGATCTAGGGCACCGTGGTGGCTAGGAGATGTTATCTCCCTCACCATGGTTTTCAAGAGGTCATGGGTTCAATTCCAACCCTGATGCCTGCATATTTGGAGTTTGCATGTTCTCCCCGTGGTCGCGTGGATTTTTATCTGGGTCCTCATGTTTTTCGCACCACATTTAGTCACACCTTTATAGTATTTGGCTGCTATACATTTTCCACATTATAAGCAACTTCGTTGAGCCATCATTTGTGGCCAGGCCGCTTCTGAAAAAAGGCGAATAGCTCGGTGGGCCTTACCTGGTAAACTAAAGTGTTTTAGTTGTGTGATCTTGCTCAGACCACAGATAGTTTTTTTACTTAGGAGCTTGCTATATTACTCTGCTCCACACTCGCCACTACGGTGCTCCGAAAGAGAGAGATCCAGGAGCCAGTGTTGAACAGCCAAGACACTCTTTATTCAAACACCTACAAAAGACTGCAATGTGATCAGACAAGGTTTACGACTCAGCCTGCAGAGACGACAACATGCCTTGCTCCAATCCCAAACAAGCAACCCCTTACCCCGTGTTGACTTTAACGCCACATATCAAACATGAATTATCACAAATATATGGTAATTTAACTCGAATAAATAACATTCCTGTATCCTTAATGTATATGAATTATGTTACATTTGTAGGACTTGAAATATCACACGCCACGCGTTCTGTTGCTAGGCAAGCGAGCAGAGTACAGTGGGAGCATCTGAGGACACAGTTGTTGTCGTGGCATTAAGGGGGAGGTCGTTAAGAGACGCAACAGTGTTAGGGGTGACTGAGGACGCAGACCGGTGATTGGTCAGGAGGGTGAGTGGTTAATGACCGGCGCCGGCCTGGCGGCAATAACATGGTCACATGAGGCTGGGGGCCTGCAGGCGAGTAGCAAAGCGGGGGATGAGATAATTGATTGGGACTGATTGGTGCGGGGATAAAGGGCTCAGCGTAACGGAGAGACGGGAGTCTTGGTTCGGATTGGAGCTGGAGTGGTTGGTGCCCGGGACAGAGACGAAGCAGCAGTGAGCAGGAATAGATACGATAAGGATAGAGAGAACACAGTGTACGGTTAGCAGTGGATAGAGAGAACACAGTGTACGGTAGCAGTGGATAGAGAGAACACAGTGTACGGTAGTTACGGGGAGACATGGAGTGTTGTTAATGGCGGGTTGTGCATCGGAGCGAACGGAGAGACACGGAGCGATGATGAGGAGGAGGTGTGAACTCTACGCGTGAATAAACGAGACGAGAAAGACAACGAGAGTACTGCACATTTGTAATAAAGGACTCGACCACGGTATCTGGCTTTGGTGTCCTTTATTTGGGTTCGTGGATTCTTCCCCCACACGGCTCTCTCCCAGAGACTCCCCACTCCGCTGCCGACGCTGCTGCCGCTACTGTAGCTGCTGTAGCCTTCTCGCCGTTCCCACCGCAGCTCCGCTGCTGCTCTCTGCGTGCAGCCTTCTGGCTCTCCTTGATGCAGCCCCACCGCTGCTGTCTCTCTCTCTCCTCCTTGACGCAGCCCCACCGCTGCTGCCTCTCTCTCTCTCCCGGAGCAGTCTCTCTCTTCGTGCAGCCTCCCCGGCCGCCCTTGCTGCGGTCTCACCGCAGCTCCCCGTTTCCTCGGGGTCGGTCACCGCTGGCCGACGGTGCCGACCGTACTCTGCGTGTGTGGCGATCTCGCCACTCCTCCTTCCTTCGCCCTTCGTGGCCTCGCACTCGCTCAGTCTCCAGTCACCCCCTCCTCTTCCGGTTTCACCCCCTTTAATACCTGAACCCTTACCCCCACGTGACGTAACTCCTCCCCCCCATGACGTCACATCCGGAAGGTCATTTACGCCCGCATTACACATTGACTAAGAATTACTTTGATTCAATATGAATGCTATAGCTTCGCGTGAACGTGACTCGTCAACTGGAAGTCATGTGTCTGCTTCCACATCTGCCGGAAGGTGTGAAGCCTAATCTGGAGCACCCCCCATTCAACCTCTCCATGAGCAAGTCGCACACATGCTAAAATTACGCGATTCCATCATACCACGAGGGGGTGTGATCCCATTAATAATTCGTCACGTACATATTGTATACACACCTGTTACAATCAGCCCCCACTGAATTGTACTTAGACCGCATTACCCTCAATTGGCAAGACATCTCCACCATAAACTAAACAAAATGGGAGACGACCCTTCGTTATTTTACAACAACCTTGCACCCGGGTTCAAAATTGTACACTGAACGACCAAGCTTCTTAACAGCTCCCTGTATCAACAGATTTGGAGAACACCGCGAGTGGCCAACCACCGTATCCTCTTTTGTTCGTAACTCGCCCATCTACACTCCCAGAACTCCTGTGCTCAGTCCCACACAAAACTGGTTGAATGAGTCCATTTGAATCAAATGATTGTCCACCATTAATTTAATGCACACTCGTGTCAAACGGTGATTGAGCCCTAACCCCACGGAATTATCACGTTCACCTTGAATCATAAACAATGTTCGTGATTAACCTCACATCACAGGTCTAACAAATCTACCAACCCTTGTGCTATAGTTCCATGTTTAGTGTGTGTCTCACGATGCACACACAAGTCTGGAGGCACCACGATTTATTAACAAATTAACAGGGCTATAGGATAACAATACTTGGGGTTATTCTAGACCCCCAAAAGGGGTCTCTACATAAACTGAGTCCCCGTCGACCGATGCTCCAAGACCCCCGAAGCAACGCCGCATGGTAAGCTCTGCCCGCCACACAACCACGATCGCTCCGCCTCCGTCCCTCTTATCCCCTCGAGTGTGGACTCGCTCCGCCTCCGGCCATGCCTCGTCCTTGTTCTCTCGCGACGGAACTGGAGCTAGCGTCACATGTCCTCCGGGCCCCCGTTTCCAGCCCCCCTTCACTACGTGTCGGCACGTCCCCTCTCTGCGATGAAGCCCTGCTCTGTCGGGCCTGCTTCCCCGCCATGTCTTCGTCGGCCCCATCAAGTGGTACGTGCGCACTCATTCACCAGTTGTGGTTGTACCCTTTATGAAACTCGGCCGTCTTGGCTGACCGACATATAACCCACGCAACGTGTGGGCCTCCAACTTTTAACGCAACAGAACAACAAATAATCCCGAACGAGGAATAAACGATTTTTACACTATATACAGGATCAGAGAGAAGAAGATTGGGAGGGAAGGGAAAAAAAAGAAAGTTGCAACTATTTACAATGGCCGACCCACCCCTGGACAGCCCACAACTACACCGCACATATGTAATGCTGTACACGAGCACAAGATGAGCCCGGGTCCGTCAATGACCCATCTGGCTCGAGCGGCAACCGCAGACCACAGGTGTAGGTGCACTTAGACGCCGAAGGATGGACATTTAAATCGAGCAATCTTTGCTCGAGTCCTTGATGCCGGGCCGTCAAGCAAGGACAGTGCGCCCCTCCTGGAGGTCCGAGAACAGCCAGAAGATGACTCTATGAGCACGGCACCTCCCGAGGTGAAGAACCACCAAGCAGTGGAGGGTCGGGCGATGGCGGCTCTGGATTCCCCCGTCCACCCCGGGCCGGCACTACCGGTGACATTGGGGGCGTTAGGCACTTGGACCCTGTGGGCAGAACAATAGAACTGTCCTGAGAAAGGACGTCAGCCGACACGCGCCCCAGCTCATCGGACTGACTAGAGATCCGGCACTCTGGAAGTGGAGATGAAAGACTAACGGCAGGTGGAAAAAAACTTTTAGCCACAACGGGTACACAAACCAGCGGCGGTGACCACACTGAATCCACATGCACTGCAGACTCCTCACCTCCACCACTTCGACCGGGCCCTGCCATGGTTTGTATGATTTCGGGGAAGTATTCATCAGGACATAGGGGCAGTGGAGCCACGCCTTGACCCCTGGCGTCCATATTGTTGTGGACTGGCGGGGCTTGACGAGCCGTTTATTGGCCGCCCGCCACAAGATGCCTCCCTAGCTTCTGCCAAACGCTGTAGGGTAAAACGCATGGGGTTCGGTATCTTTGTGCAATTTCCCAGCGGTTTGAGCTGCACATCAATTGGTGGGTCACGCTCCCTTCCATATGTAGGACTTGAGAAATACGCATTCCCGCGATGGGTTGAGATACGTGCACGTGGCGGACAGTGAGGGCAAACGGGGACACAGGGCGCTGAGCGACTTACTGTCGTTGTACCAATTAAAATGGCATGGTAGTTAAGGAGGGCCGCAGGTGGCCAGGGGTAATTGAGGACGCAGGCCGGTGATTGGACGAGAGGTATGGGTGTCTGAAATTGGAAACCGCTGTGTCTACAACAACAACGCCACGTGGCACTGGGGGCTGGGGGCGAGTAGCGAAGCGGGGGATGATCTAATTAATGAAGGGGAATTGGTTCAGGGATAAAGGCGGAGAGCGTGGAGAGAAACGGGGGTTGGTGCCTGGGACGAGTGACAAACGGATGGAGAGACGGAGCAGTGGACAAAAAGAATATAGTATAAGGTAGCAGTGGACAAAGAATATATCTTCTTGGTTCTTGTATAGCATATTGTATAATAATAAATAGTATTAAAGTGTACTGTTTAATACAATGTATAAGGTAATATATTGTATCGTTATTATATAGTGAATATACAGAAGTGTGGTATACATTTGGGTGGGTAGAATAATACATAGTGTAATATTACAATGTATAGTCTAAAAACATATTAGTTGCTGCGGCGCCATATTATTAACATTCTTTCCCTTTATTAATTCTAACCTTACTCCCTCCCTTTGATACTGCTAATCCTGCATAATGCATGGGCATAATGACTTTAAACCCCTCGCCAATCCTCCTACGTATCTCACAGGTAGTACTAATCGCATATCTGCATTTCCCATGAATATGCTAAATTCCTCTTGATATGCAAATTATTTTGTGAAGACGCTCTTCGCCCCTCCATCCCAGCATAAATAGTCGCTCCAAGCCTGGAGCGTGCCATTCAGACTCTATCTACTTGACAGACCTGTTCTCCACCTGAAGACGGCTGCTTGCGTTGTGGCCGAAACGTCGTGAGAATTATTTTATTATTTTATTATTTTTTATTATTTTATTACTTCCCTTCTACGTAACTTTACCGAAAGAACCAAGAAGATGAATCCCTGCAGTCACGAAAGCTTTAAATCGAAAGAGAATATAGTATAAGGTAGCAGTGGACAAAGAGAATACAGTGTACGGTAGCAGTGGACAAGGAGAATACAGTGTACGGTAGCAGTGGATAGAGACGATACAGATGGAGTAGCAGTGGACGGAGCGAATACAGCATAGGATAGCAGCGGAGTAACGGACCTTGGTGGAGAGAGCTACGACGGAGTGGGACGGCAGAGAGAACAAAGAGCGACTGAGCTGGAGAGAGAGCAGAGAGGAGGGTCGCTGGAGGAGCAGAAGGAGAGCGAGCGAAGCCAGCGGAGCGGAGCAAGCGAGCGGAGGGACATTGAGTGATGTTGATGGGGAGTTGCGAGTGGAAGAGTATGGAGAGACATTGAGTGATGCCGACGGAGGAGATGTGAACTATATGAGTTAATAAAGAACCGAGAAAGACAAAGAAGCTGTCGCGTCAGTACGATATAATAATGGGGAAAACCCGGTAAAAGCATACGGGGCGGAACTATATGCGGCGAGCACGCCCGGAACATGTAAGTCCCAGTCTGACAGGGCTTAATTGACACGTTGGCACAACATCGAAGTCAGGGTTCTGTGTAACCTCTCCACCATACCGTCCGTATGGAGGTGATAAGGCGATGTGCGCACCTTCTTCGTACCCAATTGCTCGCAAACCTCTTTCAACAGCTTGGACGAATTTGTTTTGCCCTGGTCCGTCAAGAGACGTTCAGGGGCGCCTTTATCCAATACGTAGCCATGAAGGAACACGTCCGTGATGGTTCCAGCTGATTGGTTTGGTAGCGGCCAGGACATTGGCCAACGTGACAAATACTTCCCCCACGGAGTGGAGTGGGGGAAACGCAGATTGATTTCAGCGTTGGGCGATCCGCTCTCATCGGAGGTTTGAGGCGAGCGCATTCTGTGCAACCCTGTAGCAGGTTATAAACGTCATCGGCCATGCCCAGCCAGAACAAGTGCATTTTTAGAGTAGCCAATGTCTTTTGGACACCAAGGTGCATTAACTGCTCATGCTCGGCACGTATAACCCTTCCCCGCAAAACAATGGCGTATCGATGGGATTCCTCGTCCCATCTCATCAGCAAGCCTCCGTCAAGGATCACCGGCGATACTTCTCATCTGTTACCCCGACCCTCTGCTTTATTGA